TGGAGCTGGTTGTGCAAAAGATAATCACTAAACAATAATAAATCATGGGCTATTAATAATGAAATAATTAAAATAGGATTAAACACATACATACACACAAGGGAGTTATTTTTCTGGTGTATACAATAATCTTACGACCAGCTAACTAAAGTTTTGAGGTCTAAAAGTAAAGCAATAGATGATACCATCCGATATTTATTGAGGAATATAGACAGATTATGCTAAGCAACAGAAATACAAAAAAGGGCTAGATTTACTATGCATGTCCTCTACAGAGACTACAAACTGTGGTCAAATAGTTGGGGGAATAAAAAATTACTGAATTAATTAGTAAGTTATTGTATGTGACCTATTCCATAAAAAGTAGTAACAGGTATAGTGAAAAAGGAAAAAGGGATTTTGAGATCATCTCTTAATACTGTATCATTTATGCCAGCTCACAATTTCTTATATGCTGGTCATCATATCTGATTGGTTTACAGAAACCCTGGGAATAAGGCAGGGCTGCAGCTTGGCCCACAGGTAGGTGAGAAAGATGATACCTGAAGAGGTTAAGCAACTTGCTTAAGATCACAGGTCAGGAGGTAGCAGAGGGAGAGCCTGGCCAGTTTGCCAACTTTGTCTAGAGCTTATTTCTACTACGTTAAACTTTAAGTTGTCAACACTAAAGTGAGAACTAGAAAGGAGTTCAGAAATATTCAAATGCAGTTGTTTCCCTGATCAATCTGATAAAAACTTTGGGCATGCATTAAAAACAGAGTCCTAAGCCCCACTGCAGACCTACTGAATGATAATCACAAGAGAGTCCTGTATTATTACAAGACCCCCAAGAGATGGTTTTAATGATTAGGTAAGCTTGGAAAACACTCTTCTATATCTGCATGTCCAACATGGCAGATCTGTGGCTTTTTAAATTTTCACTGATTAAATGAAAAGAAAAAAACTGGGTCTTTTAATTACACTAGCTACATTTTAGGTGCCCAAAAGCCACATATGGCTAGCGGCTGCTACATACTGGACAGTACACATATAAGACATTCCTATTACCGCAAGGAGTTCTTTTGGACAATGCTGATTCTAGACCAGCTCTTCAACTCTGAGATGAGAAGACTGAGGCTTAGGATCTCATTTGACAAGTGCAGTGAGGCTAGTCAGTGGCAGACCTGAAACACTAACCTAGTTGGCCAGTACCTCTCTTAATCATTTTATCCTACCTCAAATTGGGCTTTTTCAAATGGGAATTATTTTCTTTCCACTCTTTCTTGTAGGTTCCAGCAAAAAAAAGAAGTCTAAATTTGTGTAAGTCTTAAAAAAAAAAAGAGAAAAAAGTCATTAAACAATCATGATTAAATCTAAAACAATCTGCAATTTTTATATAAAACTAAAGGTTAGTGTTGGACAGTTATGAATAACCTAGTGTTAGAAGGCAAATCTTAACTATTTTAATTCCATCCTCAGGGATCCCTGGGTGGCTCAGTGGTTTAGCACCTGCCTTTGGCCCGGGGCGCGATCCTGGAGTCCCGGGATCAAGTCCCACATCGGGCTCCCAGCATGGAGCCTGCTTCTCCCTCTGCCTGTGTCTCTGCCTCTCTCTCTTTCTCTCTCTAGGTCTATCATGAGTAAATAAATAAAATCTTAAAAAAATTCCATCCTCTTCTATTGACTTGATGTTTTCACTTTCTCTTGGACTCGAAACCCTGAAACTAATGTTATATTTTAACTGGCTTACCTTAATATTTAAATGTGAAAAGGTGACCTCTTATTCAGCAAACACTTTAAATATGAAAATTAAGAAATAAGGAGCAACCAAAAAATAGTGACTTTCTAATTTTAGAATGTGGTCACTCAAACCACTGAGCACTCTTGGCTTTCAGTAATCTAGTGGTTTTGTATTTGACATTAATATGTTGTTTTCACTTGTAACCCTACAGCTCTACCTTCTTTTGACTATGTTATATTTTCAAACAATTTGAGGGACTAGAAGCATTTGAACCTGTAGGAAGATTTGTTGGAGTCTAATCAGGTCAACATATAACCAGTCACAAAAAATACAACAGTGTCTTCTTTAAAAATAAAACCAGTTGTTCCTGTCTAGTATGTTCAGAATGCAAATGTTTCCAAGTCAGTCAGCTTCAGTCATGACAGTTCATGTTTAAAGTGAGCAGGAAAATAACCTGGAAGTTCACGGTAATTAAAACTTTAAAGAAAGAATCATATAGTTTTATCAGTTTTTTTCAGTACCTAGTATTGATTTAGTGACTGGATTTAGATGAAATTGATGTCAAACTCTATAAAATCAAAAACTGGATTGTTGAAAAAATGGCCCCACACAAGATACTTACAAACAAATACTTATTCAAGACAGCTTTGCCATAATTTGTAAGGCACCAAGAAGCCTTGAGGATGGGGTCTATATAAATAGAAGCTACTTGTTATTCAGAGAAAGATGGTGCCAAAAAAAAAAAAAAAAGACTGCTATTTTCTTTCTAAACACTCATTGTTGTTGACATAAACAAACAAAAAAACCCACAGTTTCAGTAAGCAGGGTAGAGCACAGCTAGAGTCTCTAAGTCAGGAGAGGGGGGAGAGAGAAAAATGTGTTTCAGTACTTTAAAGAGACGACTGGTATTTTAAAAGGAAATTTATTCTATGGCTTTTAGACCTGATTCATTACTTCTACATCTAATCTGTTATGTCTTGACTTTTCACTATATTAGGAAGAAGAAAAACAAGTGCCCTGAGGATTCTTATGCCAAAAAAACTACTTTCGGAGGCAGCACAGCTCACCAAATGAAGAACATCAGAAAAACGTTTACTTACAACAGCAGAAATGGAACTATCTCAACTACTGAGTGATAAATGGCATATGCTGACGTAAAGAACATGAAAACTATTGCAAACTGTAAGCAAATATAAAAGTGTTCCCAAAATTTCAAATCTCATAAAAGAACTGCAAAAGAAAGTAATAATAAATAAAGAAAGGAAAGTATTGTGAAGGAGGGACCTTGAGAAGGAAGCCCGGCTTGAAAGGAAGACGCAGGTCAAGGCGTGGGGGCAGTTCTGACCGCGTCTGTAGCAGGAGATGCTTCTAACAGCTTCAATACTACTGTCCCCAAAAGACCATTTTAGGCAGCTTTAGGGAAAGTGATTTAGGCAACGGGCAAATGTGCTTTGAGAGGGAAACAGAGATGCTGCTGAATTTTCTACCTATGAAAAGATGCACTAGTGAGAGAAAACGGCCATGAAATCCCAGACTGTAATCCCCAAGCTCCCTGTCGAAAAATATCAACATACAAGCCAGCGCAATTGAAAAATGACCCAGCCAAGTTTTCAGCTGGCCCTCACTATCTCTCAAACCCCCCCTTCCTCCACTTCCCTGCTGTTCTTTTCTGGCACACAAAATATAGGCCAATGAGCGGTGGGTGGGTGAGGAGGATGTGAGAGAAAATTTGAGAAGTAAAAAAGGGAGCAACTTCACAAGGACATGAATGAGACTGAAGGGTCTCATGAGGGTAGGCAAACAGTTCGAACGGAACGGGCTTTTCCTGGGCAGCAGAGAGCGTGCAGAGTTGGGAAGGGTTTAAGCAGAGGCCAGACTACCTACCACTTGTCAGAGAGGCTGCAGAGGGGACGGCTGCTTTGGGTGACCTCTAATGTCTCTTCCGACTCTGAAACGTCAGGATTCTTATTTCACAAGAGAGAACGCCATGGTCCCGAAAGCCCACCGACCTAGAACCCTCTTAAACGAGCGGCCCAGGTGGCTGCTTCCCCAGCACCACTCCCACCTCTCCCTCCCTCCCTCCCTCCCTCCCACACGTGCCCACCCCGCCCCCTTTCAGTATTTCCACCTCCACGTGCGAAACGCCTCGCGGCACTCGCCCCGGAGCGGAGAGGCACCTTTCCCCGCGAAGCACCCCAACTAGGCCCCCCCTCCCCGGGCCAAGGGAGGACTCCACTCTCCCACCCTGGACGGCTAAAAAAGGAAAAGTCTCAAATCCATCCTCCCTCCCCACACCAGCCAGAGCTGAAGGGGGGGGGGAGGGGGGGCGGGACGCAGGGGAAAAACTTTCTTCGAAGATTTTTCTCCCAGAGAGTGAAGGGAGTAGAGGGAACCCCGCCGAGTCCGGGGGCTGAAGGGGCGGGGGGAGTGGAACCCCCCCCCCCGAATCGTTTAACGGCCGGTAGGGGGAGGGGCACTCTGGAGGTTGAGGGGGCGTGGGATGGAGAAGCAGGCCTGGGAGCGAGGTCAAGGAGCTGCAGGGGTTCCTGGGGTCGGGGAGCTGCAGGCGTCCCCCCCACCTGGCACACAAAGCGGCTGCCGCGCTCGGCTCTCACCAGATCCTTTGTGTTTTCCATCAGGGCCTCATGGGTAGGGGTTGTCCGTGCTCCCCGGGCCCGCGGCGCCCCCTCCCCGAGCTGGGGGCAGGCGCCTCTCCCTGGGACTACGGCGACTACAGGGGGGGTCCCCGCTGGGCCCAGACCGGCGGCGGCTGCGGCAGCCCCCGGATTTCCCCCCTTTAACTCGGGTGGCCCCAGGATATCAACAACATTAGCATAGCCCTCCCTCCCCAGCGCGCCTGCGCCGTGACCCGCGCCCCGATTGGCCCACTTCCCTACATACCCTCCTCTCTCGCTCCTCCAGCGTGGGACCCTCTGCAGGCTCCGTACTCCAAGGGCCGTACCAAGACGAGGGGGTGGGAGAGGCCACCGCGGCTCGAGGGAGGTCGAGTGGCCAACAAGTCGGGAAGAGGAGCAGAAGTTTCATTCAGTCCTCCCAGCTGACACTCCGGCTTCCCTGCGTTCCTTTCAATCAGCTGCAGCTGCGAAGTTGTGTTGGAAAAAAATTTCCACTCCGGTCACGCCGCTTCCCCCTCCACCCGGAAGATTGGTCCTCCCGGAGGAACTCCCCTACGGGGAGGGGCTGGGGGGGGGGGAGTGGGCGTTACGTAGGGAGAGAGTGCTGGTCACGTGCTAGCGGGCCGCGCAGGCTCGGTCCGACCCCGCGGGGCCTCAGCGGCCGCGGCAAACGCACCACGTCGGCGCACGCGCAGCGAGGCTCCACGTGAGCGCCTGCGCTTCTTCTCAAGCCCAACGATGCCGCCGGAACGTAGAAGCCGAACGAGACCGGACCGGAGAACCGGAGCGAGGCTGGGCCGGAAGAGCCGAAAGAAGCCGGACCGGAGAGCCGCAGCAGGGCCGGGCGGGCCGCCCCGCAAGGCTGCTCCTTCATCCCAGCGGAAACCGCCGGCCCGGCCGAGCGCAGCGGCCGCTGCGATCGCAGTCGCGGCGGAGGAGGAGAGACGGCTCCGGCAGCGGAACCGCCTGGCGCTGGAGGAGGACAGGCCGGCCGTGGAGCGGTGCCTGGAGGAGCTGGTGTTCGGCGACGTCGAGGACGACGAGGACGTGTTGCTGCGGCGTCTGCGGGGCTCGCGGGTGAGGGAGGCCGCGGCGCGCGGGCTGGGCGCGCGCGGGCTGGGCGCGCTCGGGCGGGGCGCGCGGTGGGCGGCGAGCCTCCGGGGGCGGAGCCTGGGCGACCTGCGGCGCCGGGCGCGCTCCGGTCGGCGAGCGCCGGGGAACGCGGGCGCCGGCGGCTGCGGGGCTGCAAACCTCCGCTGGGCGGAGACCTCGCCTTTCCCCGCCCCCGGGGAGCGCCCCCGCCCGGTACTCAGCCGGCGCTCTGCGCGGACGCGTAGCCCGCGGCAGTCGTGGGCGTCTTTCGCGGCTCGGCCCCGCCACTCTCGGTCTCTCCAAGCCCAGTGTTTCTTTCCTCGTGGTCGTTCGATCCCCCGCCTTGCTGGGATTCGGGAGCTGTGGAATCAGAATGTGCGTTTTAAAAGAGCTTCTCCGGTGGCTGGCTCGCCAACTTTTGAAAACGATCGTGCGTATTTATTCACCAGATCCTTGTTAGTCTGTTGGGGGCCACGTCCTTTGCCCGGGGGTGAAAACCCCGCGTGCTTTTTATCATCCCCCTTTTCCCCATTTATTTTGATCACTTTTTGGGGGGACACTTTAAGTTTTCCCTTTTACGCCTTGCCTGGCTTTTCTCCCAAGACAGGGAGTTCCAGGCATCGTTCTAGGCAATGGAGGAGACACAACAATGGACAAAACCAGACAAAAATCCCTTGCTCTCTTGGAGCATGTGTACTAGTGGCAGAAGAAGAAGGTAAAGCAAAATGCAAGTATGTCAGTGACGAGTGCTGAAGAGAAGAAAAATGAAAGCATTGGGGAAAGGAAGACGAGTGTATGTAGAGACAGGTGTAATTTTACATAGGATGGCCAAGCAAAGCCTCAGGGAGAATACCGTTTGGTAAACGAATGCGGACCTAGAAAGTGGCCAGTGTCCGTTGATTGTCACTACCTCCTGTGGGTGGTAATGAGGGAAACTACAAAAATCTCCTTGGGAGATAGAGAACTGTTACTGGAAAGCTGCTGGCCTGCGGGACAGTTTCATAGTCGAGAGAAGGAAGAATCCGGGTGAGGTGGGGTTTATTGGACTTTGAGGGATCATAGGTTGGTAATAGACCAGCAAGAAAGTATATATATGTATATATTTTTTTTGAAAAGCACTTGTTGGCATTTACTGAATCTCCCCCTCTGTGGCTTCAAGCTACTAGAACGCTTGCGTCCCCCACACCCTTTATCTTCTCCTCAGCTCTTCTACTGAAGAATTTGGCCTTCACGATGACAGGCTGTTTTGGGAGCTTTCCCTTTCCCAAAACTTCGTAGTAGCCCGATCGCACCACATGGATAATAGGAGCAGCTCCAGTCTTGTTTTTGGCAGCCTTTACCCGTGTCTGCTCACTGACTAAGGTCCACAGTTTATCAAGGTTGACAGTTGGGCAGAAGCTCTGGTTTCTCTTTAAGTGGTAATGTGTCTCATACCGACTTTTCCAAAGTAACCTGGGTGATATTTGTCCAAGTTGATCCTGTGATGATGCATGCCACCAGCATTACCCCGGCCTCCGGGGTGCTTCCAGTGCTTACCCATGTGGCCGTGGCCATGGCTCACGTGGCCCCGAAATTTCCGGGTCTTCCTTCCTCTGCATGGCGTGTAGGCCCAGAGGAAAAAGAGTGGTGTCTGCGGAATCTCTCGAGCTACCGACAACGGGGGCGGAGCCAAGAGACTCCGCAGGAAAATATTTTGACATGTATTAGTAGTCTTTGGGAAAGCTCAAGCTCACATCTGGGAGTATTGTGATCTAGATCTATCTATTTATTTATATTTTTAAAAGATTTTATTTATTCATGAGGGAGATACAGAGAGAGGCAGAGATACAGCAGAAGCAGAGGGAGAAGCAGGCTCCACACAGGAAGCCCGATGTGGGACTCGATCCTGGGTCTCCAGGATCATGCCCTGGGCTGAAGGCGAACGCTTAACCGCTGAGCCACCCGGGCGTCCCTGTGATCTAGATTTAGGTTTGATAGTCTGGTATAAGTTTTCTTTTTTTTTTTTTAAACATTTTCTTTTTTTAATTTTTATTTATTTATGATAGTCACAGAGAGAGAGAGGCAGAGACATAGGCAGAGGGAGAAGCAGGCTCCATGCACCGGGAGCCCGACGTGGGATTCGATCCTGGGTCTCCAGGATCGCGCCCTGGGCCAAAGGCAGGCGCTAAACCGCTGCGCCACCCAGGGATCCCTGGTATAAGTTTTCTTAAGGTAGGGTGTCAAACATGGTGATGGAGCAATGGAGAAGAGGTAGGTCTAAGAATGTGAAATGCTAGTCGTGATTTTTGATACTAGTCTGCTCTGGATCCCGTGATTTCTGTAGTTCCAGGATTTTTCCTGCTCCTTTCCTTATCTGTCAACTTAACCTTTTGTTCTTGCCTTACTTGGTCCTTTGCTTTCAGCATGTCAGCTTTCTCTCCGTGACTGTTGGTCCTACCTACCTGTCCAGCGTATGGTACCTTTGTCTAATCTCTGTTTTCTCTTCTGCCGCCAGCATTTGCTGTGGTAGCATTCTGTCCCATTATTCGATAAGAGGGCCTACAAAGCATTCTACAAGACCTCTAACTGTAAGGTGTGTTGTCTGCTGAAAAACTCAGTGCTTGAGGGCATTTTGTCTCCTAGGTTCAAGCACAGGAAGACTCAGATGATTCGGAAGCAGAGAAGGAACCAAAAGATAATTTTCTATTTCAAAAGAAGCCGGTTTGGGTGGATGAAGAGGATGAAGATGATGAAATGTAGGTTGCCTAGTTTTTCCTCACAGAATCTCTCTGGATACTTTAAGAGTTATTTTGCAAGTTTTAAAGAAGTTCTCTTTGTTGTGATTTACTACATTCTGATTACATGAAGATTTGAAAAATACTGTAAAGCAGAGGAAAGAAAAGGTCATTCATAAACCCACCCCAAGGGAGAACTGCTGTTAACATGTTGGCATTCTTCTCTCTTGCTCTCTTCTCTTGTATACTTCCTTCAATAGCAAAGAAAGCATAGTGTTTGCTGTCACATTTGAGTTTGCCTTTTAATTTGACCAGTTCCTAAGTGACCAAAGGCAAGTTTGGAACCTGCCTTTTCTTTTTTGAACGGAGGTAATAATAATAATATCAGAAGGCTCTTGAGATTAAGTGGAATAGTGTATGCAGAGCTCTTAGCACAATGTCTGAAACAGAAAAGGCAGAAAAACTGGCACACTCAATGTTGTACTTTTAAGGGATGAGAATGTATCTTGCAAGCATTTCTCCCTCACTTAAGAATAAAATCATTTATAAATGTTTTTAAATGGATAGATTATAGTCTATTATTTGAATTAACCGTAATTTACATAGGTATTGTCAGAAAAGATTTCCTATTTTTCCCTTTAGTAAGTTGATACTGAGACAAGCATTTTTCTGCATAAACCTTCTGCTTTATATTTATTTCTGTAAGAAAGATGTTCTGAGGTAGAATTACTTAAAAGGTATAGGCACATATAAGATTCTTGATAAAAACTGCCAGACCGTGAGGTTCTCCCAGTTTACCTTCCCATTGAATGGTGTGCATTTCACTCCATTCTCATAAACAATGCTTATCTTTTTTCAGACTTTGCCAGTTTAATGGGCAAGAAATAAGTACTTGATTTGTGTGGTTTTTGTCATTAAGTATTGGTATTTTTTCAGAGCATTCTTTATTATGTGGTTATCTTTTTAAAAAAATAATGTGTATTTGATATTCCAGACCTTGCAAATCTTGACCTATATTTGATTAAATGTGTTCTTAAATTATTAAAGGGAACAATTAGTTCTGACATCTTTAAAATTAGTAATTTTAAGCATACTGTTCTGTTTTTAATAGGGTTGACATGATGAACAATAGGTTTCGGAAAGATATGATGAAAAATACCGGTGAAAGCCAACTTTCAAAAGACAAGCTTCAAAAGAGACTGAAGGAAGAGTAAGTGTCCTTTTCCATATAATTTACCAAGCTTTAACTTATAGTCATTGGTCTATTTGGATTCACTGAGTCTTTGGTTATAACAGTTTCTTGGGCAGTGCGATTTCAATTTTGAAGTAGTGAGAACATTGCTACTGGAAGAAATGGTTAAGTTTTAGTATTTTGGAGGGAGAGTGAATACAAATACAAAAGAATTTTGGAGACTCTTGGAATCCTACCATCCACATATAATCAGCGATAATAGCGCTTGCTTGCTCATTTATTTGTTTATGGTAAATCATCTCTTTCCCATAGGCTCTTTCTAGGCTCCTTTAGTTGAACAAAGCTGGGAAATGGATGTGTATTTTATTATTTTTTAAAGATTTTATTTATTTATTCATGAGAGACACAGGCAGAGAGAGAAACAGGCTCCATGCAGGGAGCCCGATTTGGGACTCGATCCCGGGACTCCAGGATCATGCCCTGAGCCAAAGGCAGGCGCTCAACCGCTAAGCCACCCAGGCGTCCTGGATGTGTATTTTAAAATAATGATTTCATGGGGGTACCTAGGTGGCTCAGTCTTTTAAGCATTGCACTTCGGCTCAGGTTGTGATCTCAGAGTCCGGGATCGAGCCCTGTGTTGGGCTCTGCACTGAGAGGGTAGTCTGCTTCTTCCTCTCTGTTCCCCCTACCCCCCTTGTAAGCACTCCCCCCCCCTTCAAATAAATGAATAAAATCTTAAAAAAAAAAACAAACATTTTTCTCTTTAAAAGAGAGAAATCAAATTAAAAGATTTCATCCTGATTCTTCCAATTCACATTTACAGATCTTCAGAAATACTTTTTTTCTTTCAATATTTTAAATTAGTAAAAAAAGTTAGTAAACATACAGTTAGTACAGAAAGTTAGTAAACATACAGTTTCAGGGTAGCATTTAGTGATTCATCACTTGCACATAACACCCAGTATTCATTACGAGTGCCCTTCTTATTGCTCATCACCCATTTAGCTCATCCCCTACCCACCTCTCTCTATCAACCCTGTTTGTTTTTATCTTTAAGAGTCTTTTACGGTTTTTTTCCTTTTCTCTGTCTTTCCCCTTCCCAAAGTTTATTTCTTTTGTTTCCTAAATTACACATATGATGAAGTCATATGGTATTTGTTTTTCTTGGATTGATTTCACTTAGCATAGTACACTGTGTTAATATACTGTATTGTTGTAAACGGTAGATTTTATTCTTTTTGATGGCTGAGTAATAATCAATTGTATAAATATACCACATCTTCTTTATCCATTCATCATTTGATGGACACTTGAGCTCTTTCCGTAGTTGGGCTATTGTTGATAATTTTACCATAAATGTTGGGAGGTTTGTACCCCTTTGAATCTGTATCTTTTGGGTAAATTCCTAATAATACAATTGCTGGATCATAGGGTAGTTCTGTTTTTAATCTTTTGAGGAACCTCCATACTATTTTCCAGAGTCGCTTACCCCAGTTTGCATTCCCACCAACAGTGCAAGAAGATTCCTCTTTCTCCACATCTCTTTCTCAACGTCTGTTGTTTCCTGTGTTGTTAATTTTAGCCATTCTGACAGGTGTGAGATGGTATCTCATCATGGTTTTTATTTATATTTTCCTGATAATGAGTGATGTTGAACAATTTTTCATATGTCCGTTAGCTGTCTGGATGTCTTCTTTGGAAAGGTGTCTGTTCCTGTCTTCTGGATTATTTGTTTTTTGGGTGTTGAGTTTGGTGAGTTCCTTACAGATTTTTGGATACTATTGCTTTATTGGATACGTCATTTGCAAATATCTCTCATTTCACAGGCTACCTTTTAGTTTTGTTGATTGTTTACTTTGTCTTGCAAAAACTTTATCTTGATGAGATCCCAGTAGTTAGTTCATTTTTGCATTTGTTTCCCTTGTCTCTAGTAAAAAATTGCTGTGGTTGAGGTTAAAAAAGTTACTGCCTGTGTTTTCCTCTAGGGTTTTGATGATTTCCTGTCTCACATTAGGTCTTTTATACATTTTGAATTTATTTTTGTGGATGGTGTAAAGAAGTGATCCAGTTTCATTCTTCTGCATGTTGCTATCCAGTTTACTCAGCACTGTTTGTTGAAGAGACTGTGTTTTATTAGAAATTCTCCTTTTTTGAAGATGAGTTGACTATATAGTTGTGGATAAAAACATTTTGTTTTTGTATTTTTAAAGATTTTATTTATTTGAGAGTGAGTGAAAGAGAGAGGGCATAATAAGTAAGGGGAGGAGCAGAGAAAGAAGAGCAGCAGGCTCCGCACTGAGCAGGCAGCCTGATGTGGGACTCCATCTTGGAATTCCAGGATCATGACCTGAGTCAAAGGCAGACACTTAACCAACTGAGCCACCCAGATTCCCCTAAAAACATTTAAAACTCAAAATTTTTAGGGGCACCCAGCTGGCTCAGCCAGTAGAGCATGTGACTCTTGATCTCAGAGTCATGAATTCAAGTCCCACACTGGACTTAGATCCTACTTTAAAAAAATTAATAAGAATTTTTATTAGTTTTGACACACTTTTTTTTTTAAAGATTTTATTTTATTCATGAGAGACACACAGAGAGAGGCAGAGTCATAGGCATAGGGAGAAGCAGGCTCCATGCAGGGAACCTGATGTGGGACTCTATCCTGTGACTCCAGGATCACGCCCTGTGCTGAAGGCAGACACTGAACTACCAGGTGTCCCTTGACAACTTTTTTTGTATTCCTATAGATTCATTGCACTATCACCTATCACTTTTTTTCAATTTTTAATTTTTTTTAAAAGGTTTTATTTATTCATGAGAGAGACAGAGAGAGACAGAGACCTAGGCAGAGGGAGAGGGAGGCTCTTTGCAGGGAGTCCAATGTGGGGCTTGATCCTGGAACTCTGGGATCACTCCCTGAGCTGAAGGCAGACATTCAACCACTGAACTACCCAGGTATCCCTCACTTTTTTTTTTTTTTTAAAGATTTATTTATTTTAGAGAGTGTGAGTTGGGGAAGGGGCAGAGGAAGAGGGAGAGAATCTCAAGCATAATCCACACAGGGCTCAAACTCATGACCCTGAGATCATGACCTGAACTAAAACCAAGAGTTGTATACTCAACTGACTGAGTCACCCATGCGCCCCGTCACACACTTCCCTCCCTCCCTCTCTTCCTCCCTTCCTTCCTTCCTTCCTTCCTTCCTTCCTTCCTTCCTTCCTTCCTTCCTTCCTTCCTTCTTTCTTTCATTCATTTATTAGAGAGAGAGAGAGTATGAGCCGGTGGGGGGGGGGGTGAGAGGGAGAGAAGCAGACTCCATGCTGAGCAGGATGCCTGATGTGGGGCTCGATCCCAGAATGATGACCTGAGCCGAAAGGCAGATGTATAACCAACTGAGCCACTCAGGTGCCCCTGTCACTCACTTTTTTTTTTTTAAAGATTTTATTTATTCATGAGAGAGGCAGAGACAATAGGCAGAGGGAGAGGCAGGCTCCATGCAGGAAGCCCGATGTGGGATTTGATCCTGGGACTCCAGGATTATGCTCTGGGCCAAAGGCAGACACCCAACTGCTGAGCCACCCAGGTGTCCCTCACTAACTTTTTTAAAGCAGGTTTATTGAGGTATAATTTACACAGGGCTAAATACACCCTCTTAAAGTATTTTTCTGTCAATTGTGTTAAACACATACAGTCATGTAAACACAATTAAGGAATTAAGATACAGAACATGGCCATCACCACCAGAAACTTCTCTTATGCCTCTGTAGTCCATGCTCTCTCCTCAACTTTTAATTTTCTAGTTTCTGACAACCAACTGGTCTGTTTTTTCTTAACAAATTTCCTTTTTCCAGAACATAAACATAAATGAAATCGTATGGTATGTGGTCTTTTGAATTGTTAAACTCATTTGAATCTGTATTTCAAGTATGTTTGTCAGCTTGAGAGAAGATCTTTTTAGCATGAGACCTTTTGTCTTGCTTTGTTCCTGTTTTTATTACGCTTATAATCTCTTTAAATACTTAAGAATATTTGTGTTCACTCTTTGGAAGTCCTTGTATGCTAATTTTGTCAAGTGTGTCTTTTCTGTGTCTTTCTGTTGACTGATTTTTCTACTGGTTATGGCTCATGTTTTTCTGCTTTTCTGCATGTCTAGAAATTTTGATTGGATTTTAGGCAGTGTGAATGTTAAGTTGATCAGTGTCTGGATTTTGATTTTTGCTTTTTATTGAGTGTTGAATGAATGAGTACTTTTAATGAGTCTGTATCAGGGGGCAATTAATTGGCTTGGGGATCAGTTTAATACTTTTAGGACTGGTTTTTAGTTTTGTTGCAGAGTAGCATCTACTGTAGGCTGATTTAGACCCCCATTTCTGAGATATGCCCTTTCTGCCATCTCTGCTAAATGACCTGAGTTTCCAAAAGGACCTTCCCTTGGCTGGTTGGAACTCAGGTGTCTATAAACTCTGAAGTTATGTATCTGCCAGCTCCCTAGGGTTCTTTGCTGGACCTCATGGAGTTTCATCCTGTGAATATTCAGCTTAGTATTCAGCAAAAATGTGTGTGGACCCCTGTGCAGATTTTTGGAGCTTTTTTCCCCCCTTTTTTTCAAGTAGTCTCCATGCCCAGCAGGGAGCCCAGTGTGGGACTTGAACTCATGACCCTGAGATCAAGAGCTGACCTGAGATCAAGAGTCAGATGCCTAACCAACTAAGCCACACAAGTGCCTTTTTAAAAAAAAAATTATTTTAATTTTTAAATTTTTTAAAAAAATTTATTATTTATTCATAGGCATAGAGAGAGAGAGAGAGAGAGAGAGAGAGAGAGAGAGAGAGAGGCAGAGACACAGGCAGAAGGAGAAGCAGGCTCCATGCTGGGAGCCCGACGTGGGACTCGATCCCGGGACTCCAGGATCGCACCCTGGGCCAAAGACAGGCGCTAAACTGCGGAGCCACCCAGGGATCCCCAATTTTTAATTTTTTTTTTTAAGATTTTATTTATTCATGAGAGGCAGAGACACAGGCAGAGGGAGAAGCAGACTCCCTGTAGGGGCTCAGTGACTGAGCCACCCAGGCGTCCCGCATTTATTTTTTTTTTAAGGTAAATCCTTTCTTTAAATTAAAATTTTTTTTTTTCTTATTTTGAAGTAGGGTCTACACCCAGTATGGAGCTCCACTGCGGGACTTGAACTCACAACTGTGTGATCATGACCTGAGCTGAAATCAAGAGTCGGTCACCCAACCTGCTGAACCACCTAGGCTCTTTCTTTTTCTCTTCTGTTGTCTATTGCCTCTCAACTTTCATTTGTCTCCGCCTCTTTCAAGTCTTTTTCTCTTTGGTTTTGTGTCAGGGTCTCAAAAAATTGCCTCCAGGGGAAAATCTTGGGATGGCAGCGCCACCTTGTTATTTCCTTTCTCTCAGCGATCACAGTCTTATGTTGTTTGATGTCCAATTTCTGAAAACAGTTTCATATATTTTATCCAGTTTTCTAGTTGTTTATGGCCAGTGGGTTGAGTTTGGTAGCTTTGCCTGCACTTCTCTATTAAACAGAATGACTCTCTGTACTCTTCCAGAAACCAGTCTTTAAGAATATGCTTCTTACGCTTCTCCTAAAGCTTAACTTTTTTCAGAGTGAATTGCTGCAATTTTATTCGAAGGATATGTGATTGTGTTTTGTATATTTTTACCAACCTGGTCTTTTATTTTTAGACCTGTTTTACCATGTGCTCTATTACTGTAGCATTGGTTTATAGCCATAAGCAGAGTTCTTTACTTAGTCCTAAGATCTGAGATATGTTGATATGAGCAAATAAACAGACATGTAACTAGACAAAAATAATTAACAAATATGTATCCAGGTGTCCTAAATCTAAGACTAGTTTATATGGTTAGAAGTTCATAGAAGTTTCCCATGTAAGCAAGGCTATTCTCTGCAAGTAGTCTTTCTGTTCTTAAAGATCATAATTTCTTTGGCAGAGATTCTATGCATGTTCTCAAGGGTGAGCTAATCTATACCCTTTAAATCTCTCAAGCTTTGTGAACATTTTTTAGTTAACACAAAATTTCATCTTTGTATTTTTTGCTTAGATTCCAGCATGCCATGGGTGGAGTACCTGCCTGGGCAGAGACTAACAAGCAGAAAACATCTTTAGATGGTGAGTATTGATAACTGTTTAAGTTAGTAAATAAATCTATGTTGCTGTTCTGTTACATGAGCTTTCTCATGAGGCTGATTAAAACCTGGTGTTTCAAATATGTCTTTTTTTTCCCTCTCCTGTAAGTGTTTGGTTTCGAAGTCTACCAATTCTCTTAGGGAAGCTCTTTTACAATAGTATAAGACTATTTAATTGCATGTTCTCTGTTGTATGGACAGCAATGGGTGAGTTTTATGATGTTTCATTCTCAACAGAATTATGTTGCATTATGGCATAGGGTTAAGGAAAAGTGACTTATTCTTCAGTCAGAGCCCTTCTGAAGACATTGGCAGCTAATCTAGCTGTGTACTAGGAAATAAGATATCTGGGGAGCACATGTCAGGTCAGGCCCAGATGATCAGTCACTTTGTAAAGACCCATTTTTCAACTCCAGGTTTTAAGTTTGGTTGTATTATAACTGCTTTGTCCTTTTTAGCTCCTTGAGTTTTTTTATTTATTTATTAATATTTATTTATTCATGAGAGACAGAGAGGTGGAGAAACAGGCTCCATGCAGGAAGCCCGACACAGGACTCGATCCTGGGTCTCCAGGATCACACCCTGGGCTGAAGGTGGCGCTAAACCGCTGAGCCACCTGGGCTGTCCACTCCTTGAGTTTAGATATCATAAATGTGGATGGCTTACTAAGATTTGATTTGTGCTTGGAGTTACATATTTTAGAACTTGGAATTGACTTGAAATCCATTAGGGAGGTCGGAATATATCCTTCCATATAATGCAGTAGCTCTCTTCTTAGCATCCTTGATTTTGGATAAGCATCTGTTTGATTACCACCACCACTTTTCCTTCCTTTCTCCCTACTTGGCAGTCCTGTCCTCAGGGTCTTCGACTACAGGGAGCACATATATAAGGAACCAGTTGTTTTCTGTAATTCCGTTAGAAAATTCAATCTGTTACTAAGTCAAAAATTACCTCCATGTTTCCAGCCACATACTTTTAGAGGTTGAAGGAATTAGTGATATAGTCTGACTTTATCCACTACAGTAATCTTTTCTGCAACATCTATTATAGATAAACAGGTAAAAGAAAGTAAAAAAAGCGGGACACCTGGGTGGCTCAGGGGTTGAGCGTCTGCCTTTGGCTCAGGGTGTGATCCTGGAGACCCGGGATCGAGTCCCACATCGGGCTTCCTGTATGGAGCCTGCTTCTCCCTCTGCCTATGTCTCTGCCTCTCTCTCTCTCTATCTCTCATGAATAAATAAATAAATATATCTTTAAAAAAAAAAAGAAAGAAAGTAAAAAAGGCAAAAAGTCCTACCTTTTAAAAGTATACAGTTTAGAAAAAATAAGTCTATAGATTGTAAAAAAAAAAAGTATATAGTTTATTTTACCTCGTTTCCTGTAGAATTCTGTTGTTAGAGAAATGTCTTTCCAAGTTTTTTTTTTTTTTTTTTTTTTTTTTTTTTTTTTTTTAAGATTTTATTTATTTCATGAGGGAGAGAGACATAGGCAGAGGGAGAAGGAGGCTCCAGGCAGGGAGCCCGATGTGGCTTTTGATCCCAGGACTGGGGGATCACACCCTGAGCCAAAGGCAGACACTCAACCGCTGAGCCACCCAGGCGCCTCTCTTTCCAAGTTTTTTTTAACAAGTTTCACATCCCTTATCCTTTTACTTTTTTATATTATATGATTTCTATCTCCTTGTTTACTGGTTGCCTTCTTAGATGAAATATAATTTTATTACTCATTTTAGAGTGCTGCATGCACAGAACAATTTAGGCCCATGTAATTATAGGTGATCTTATGCTAGCTCTTGAGACAGAAAGCCTCCCAGATCTCAGTGGATTAATCTAGTAGAAATTGTTTTTTTTTTAATGCGTATAAAACTATGGTGGTAAGAATGGGATGATGTGCTTTGGGGACTCAGGAGGTTCTCCCAGCTTCACACTGGGTTTTTCCAAGTTGACCAAGAGGTTGACATCCAGGCAGCTTACAGGGGAAGAGTGAGCGGCTCACCCAATAGTGGCTTTAATATGGCCTGTCCTGGGCGTGGTACATGATACTTTGACTTAGATTGTATTGGTCAGAGCTCAGTCATGAGACCACAATGACTACATGGGCTCCCAGGAAATGCAGTTTGTCTTTGTGCCATGAGAAAACTGTGACCAGACCCCAGCTTCACACTTGTCCCAGCATGTTAATTATATCAAATATTTCATCGAGTATCTTTAAAAGAGAAGAAATGTACTCCCACTTTAAATGTAATTAGAATACTATCATAGTATCATAATATCATCATAGGCCTTCAAAAATCAACAGTTAATTTCTTAATATGGTGGATTGTTTAGTTGTTGCTGTGTTGTTCGTTTATCTCCTCCCATCCTCCAGCCCAGATCTTTTTAGCTTGCTTTGTATTCTGCTTGGTCTTAACAGTGCTTTTGAATCTAACTTGATGTCTTTTTTAAGTTTTGGAAATTCTCACTGATCATCTTTTCAAATACTATTGCTGTTCCAGTCTTCTTTTTCTTCCGCTCCACCAATTACATGTGTGTTAAATGTTTTTATTTATTTTTTAAAACCTATTTTGCATTCTTTTTTGCATTTTCCATCCTTTTTACTTTCTGTACTTTAGTCTGGATATTTTTTTTCTGATCCATTTTCCAGAGCACTGATTGTCTCTCCAGCTAATTTTTATATGCCATTAAAAACATCCACTGGTGTTTTAGTTTTAACTATTATAATTTTGGGTTCTAGAATTTGCGTTTAGCTCTTTTTTTAATAATCTGGTTCTCTGGTTCAATTCTGAATATTGTCTTTCATTATTCTTGAACATTTTAAACATAATAACTTACTTTAAAAAAATGTTTTGTGTAATTATTGGAGAGAGAGAGAGAAGGAGAGAGCACAAGCAGGGGGAGCAGCAGAGGGAGAAGCAGACTCGCCACTGAGCAGGAGCCGGGGTTCATGACCTGAGCTGAAGCAGCCACTTAACTGACTCAGGCACCTCTCAACAGAATGTTTTAAAAGCTTATGTCTGGGATCCCTGGGTGGTGCAGCGGTTTGGCGCCTGCCTTTGGCCCAGGGCGCGATCCTGGAGACCCGGGATCGAATCCCACATCAGGCTCCTAGTGCATGGAGCCTGCTTCTCCCTCTGCCTGTGTCTCTGCCCCTCTCTCTCTCTCTCTCTCTCTCTCTCTCTCTCTGACTATCATAAATAAATAAAAAAAAATTAAAAGCTTATGTCTGAAAAACTCAGTTATTTAGATCACCTGCTGAGATTGTCATTTATTCCTTAGGTTTTCAATCAGGTTGCCCTACCTTGTCATTACTGACCTAGTTATATTTCATTGAGTGCTGGACACTGTAGTAAATAGTATTGCTTAATAAGAAGACCAGGATATCTTTTCCTCCAGAGAATTTGTACATTTGTTTCTGAGTAGTGGCTGGGTAAGGGGCACTAGCAGTCCCACAACATCTTATTGAAAAGATTGAGAGCTGGGTTTCAGTTCATGGAGGATTTTCTTATAATTCTTTGATTTTACCTTTAGTCCCCGAGTATCCTTTTGTGACCCCTACCTGAAGCCTGGTGGTTTACCAGACCCCCTTAAGAACCTCAGAGGGCTTTTGTGCTGTTTTTTGCTCTCTTCTCCCTGCGAGTATTTTAAAAATATTGGTCAGCTCCTTGGGTCTCTTTAGTAGAACCATCAGGAGGAAGGCAGCCCTGTTAGCTCTCTTTGAATTTCTGCTACTCAGTTTGCCGACCTTGATCTCATTCATCTAAACATGCTAGTTCTTTTTCATGCTATCTCATTAGCCATTTTGCCATAGTTACGAATTGTTCTTCTGAAATTAAATACTGCCTTTAACTTTTATTTTCTTGCATCTTTGTGAAGGTAGATGTTTCATTCCAGAGTCAGGCTTTTTTTTTAACCATATATATTGGATTTTGTGTTATTTTCCCCCTCCCCTTCAGGTTTATTTTGCTGTTTTACCAACTGCAGCGTAATAAAGTGATTGAGATTGGAGGCTGGAATGGGGGGAGTCGAAGTTTGAAATACAGACAGACATTTGGGGAAGGTAACGGCCATCTCACTGATTCTAAAGCTCAGCCTGTGTGTTTGTTTGTCTTAGATGAAAGTGAAGAGGATGAAGATGATCTGTTGCAAAGGACTGGGAATTTCATATCCACATCAACCTCACTTCCTAAAGGAATCCTAAAGGTGAGAGTCAGGGAAATGGGGCCTCTAGCCAACTACCTCTGAAACCCAGAATGCTTCCCAATTGCAAATGTATGGGTTCGCATTCTCTGTGGGATTAAATGTATTGCTGTTGTTTATTCTTCTGCGGAAATGGTCAAGAAGATTAAATTAGGTCCCCAGGGATCTTTTGACAATTGTGTTTGACTTCTTCAAGGTTTCTTTTAACCCTTTTTAGGTTTCTTTTAATTTCCACGGGCAATAGCCTGGTTCATGTTGTCGTCATCTCTTACCTCCTGTATCGCGTACTGCAGTCACTTTGTGTGACTCGCCTCTCACTTCCACTTTACTCTTCCTATTCTTCATTTAGTACTACCCAGGAGGGTCTTCCAAAAATAAAACATCAGGTCATATCACTTTTCATCACTTTTTGAAAACTTCTGAATTCTTTTTTTTTTTTTTTTTTAAAGATTATTTATTCATTAGAGACACAGAGAGAAAGGCAGAGACCTAGGCAGAGAGAGAAGCAGACTCCCCACAGGGAGCCTAATGTGGACTTGATCCCGGGAGCTGAGGATCTCCCTGAGCCAAAGGCAGACACTCAACCACTGAGCCACCCAGGCATCCCAAAACTTCTGAATTCTTTTTCACATTCTACACTGCTTTTCATAACCTGGCATCTGCCTACGTCTGAAATTTCATCTCAGAAGTTTTCCCCTTACTTCCTACCTACGTTCCCTAGGTCTTCTTTCTGTTAAACATGTTGAGTCCTTTCTCACCTTAGAACTTTTGTTCTTTGTCCTGCCTGTCTGTCAGGCATTGCTAATGGCCAGCCCATTGGTACCTTTCCCCTCAAATGACAGGTCCTTCCTGACTATCTTTTTTAAGTGGTCCACACTAGTTACTTTCTTACTCATCGCTGTATCTAACTTGCTCATTGTGGTAATGAAGTGCCTGCCCAACATAGTGCTTCAGTTAAATGTCTGTTAAATAACCAGATCTCTCTCTGACATACATTTTTTTCCCCATTATAAAATGGTGGCATGCTTTAGATGGGGGAGGGAACCCTATTATGACAAATTACCAGGAGACAGAGTATTTGTGTTTTCTTTACCTTATGAAAGTAGTTTACTCAGCCCTTCATAGGGTAAATTCATTTCCCCAAAATTACAGTTACCATAAAACTCTAACTCCATTTGTTACAAACGAAATATACACATAGTACTCACTTTGTCTTTTGTGTAATTTTTAATTTTTATTTATTTTAAAAAAATTTTTATTTACTTATTTCACAGAGAGAGAAAGCACACAAGCAAGGAGAGAGGCAGAGGGAAAGGGAGAGGCAGGCTTCCTGCTGAGCAGGGAACTCAACACACAGCTCAATCCCAGGACCTTGCGATCATGACCTGAGCCGAAGGCAGACGCTTAACTGACTGAGCCACTTAGGCACCTCATATAATTGAAGTTTTAATATATAGAGAATAACCCACAAAAACCAAGAAATAACTGAAAATAGCCTAGATGCATGAGGTCATCATTGCTTTAAACTAGGAGCCATGTGTTCTATGGGGAGAACATAAGCTATGCATGCCAACCACAGAACCATGGGAACAATTATATAGTGCCTCTTATTTTGTTCCATGAATGTAAAGATGCTAAAGTAGCAGTTTTAAGTAAAAAATTTCTGGAAGTCAGAGTATCGTAACTTATATGGGTGTATCATGAGAAAATGACTGTATCCTGATGCTCTAAGACCTTAACGATTTCATCCCTTCATTTGAAAGAAGGTAAAAATGGATTATTGTATAGTAAAATGACTTGCTAGTTGGTAGCAGAGCTGTGGTTTTCTGGTTACCTTTCCAGTGCACTTTTTTTTTAAGATTTTATTTATCTGTCTGAGAGGGAGCACAAGCAGGGGTAGGGGCAAAGGGAGAAACAGGCTGCCCACTGAGCAGGGAGCCTGATAGGGGGCTCGATCCCTGGACCCTGAAATCATGACCTAAGCCAAAGGCAACTGCTTTACTGAGCCACCCAGGGGCCCCTCCAGTGCCCTATCTTCTGCATCATGAGCTGTGTTATGTCTTTTCTTTATGATTAAAAAAAATAATGTTAACCCATTTGCAGTGATTAAATTCTAGGTTTATTTTTCCATAGATAAAGAACTGTCAGCATGCTAATGCGGAACGTCCCACTACTGCTAGGATTTCCTCTGTGCAGTTCCATCCTCGTGCTCAGGTTGTGATGGTTGCTGCACTAGATAATGCTGTATCGCTGTTTCAGGTATGCATTTTTAAATTAAAACTTGTAGTCAGTAGTATTTACTCCCAGGATACAGAGTCTAGGAAATAACCAAAAGGAATGTTTCCATTTCCTTATAGGTTGATGGAAGAACAAATCCTAAAATCCAGAGCATCTATTTGGAAAAGTTTCCAATCTATAAGGCTTGTTTTAGTGCTAGTGGAGAAGAGGTTTTAGCAACGAGTATCCACAGCAAGGTTCTTTATGTCTATGATATGCTGGCTGGAAAGTTAATTCCTGTGCATCAAGTGAGAGGTAAGGTTTCTCTTGCACATGCGGCCGATCACCCCTCTTCCCTGCCAGCCCCACAGCTGAGTTCAATTTAACAGTGTTTACAACCACTTTCCCCCATTGGATTCTTAAAAATGAGAGTATCTTTAGTTTTAGCATTCAGGGTATGTCATTGTGTTGAGATAACACATCCAAATGAAAGTAGTGAACTTTTTATTGAGTGCTTATGGGAAAATTGGAATTTTTTTCTCCTAGAGCAGAAAAGCAACTGGAAATGCTTGGCTGTAAAATTAGCAGTTGATGCAGCAGCAAGAGCTTGGGAGCTAGAAGACTGGAGTCTCAAGTCCTCAAAGTATTTCACCTCTCTGGTCTTCAGGAAATTTGGGATCTCTCTTGTTCCTCTCATGTGTGTTATAATAGAGTTTTGGTTTACATTTAAAGGAAGTAAGCGTTGCTTTTGGACATCATAATGTATTTTAAAGACTATTTTAAAAAATCTTTTTATTAGGTGAAAATGTATCTTCTTCTACCCTTCCCATTCTTCCCCTCCACATATCACCACAAAATCCAGTGACACCTTTATGAACCCTCTGTGAACCTAGGCCCTTATAGTGAGGTTGGCTGGGTTAGCATTGTAAGTGTTGGGAGGTGGCATTAATGATGCTCTGGCTTCCTGGAGTTTCCCTGTTACACTGTAGGTATGTTTGGGGCTGTAAAGGACAAGGGTAGCTCTTTACAGCTTTTTTTCTAATTGTTCAAAGTGAATGAGACCAACTTCAGAAACATTTATGGTGTTTCTTTTCATTGTTTCCAGTCTTCTGTTTTCTGTGTTCCCTGACACTTGGTGATCCTTTCCATGTGGGTTCTTAGTTTAAGCATGTTTTAACCCCGTGCTTCTCAGTAATGTGCATATGAATCACCTGGGGAACTGGTTAAAGCACAGACTGATTCTCTAGGTGTGAAGTGGGCTTGATTCTGTATTTTTAACAAGCACTTAGGTGATGCTGACCTCACTTTGAGTTGAAAAGGCTTAACCAGTCTACCCATATTGAAGCAGAAAACAGCATATAGTTGTTAACTTTTTTCACATTCTGTTCTACTAAATGAAAAGGCATAGGCTTTTTTTCCATCCTTGCCTTCCATCCTTTTGCGAATAGCAAACCCGGGGTTGGCCAAGATACAGTTAGTGATGTTTACCATGCAATCTGCTGGTACGCAGGAGAGTGGATCTAATCGCTAGTTTATTCTGAGATGTGGCATTTGCCTTTCCCTCTCAGTATTTCCTCTCTTCTTTCCTCTGTAAGCATAGCTTGGCAATAATGATGATAATGATAAAGTTAAGTGTATTTCCTTTTGTGGGCTGGTTGTTGAACACTATTTTCAGTCTTATAAAACACTACAAATGACTCAAATTAATGAAGGATGTTAGGATGGAGGGAGAAATTGCTGACTGGTTAGAATATGCAAACGTATACATATGTAAATTTGTCTTAAATGTAAGTTTAAAAAATGAGGAATACAGAATTGATGGATTCTAAAGAATTCTGAATTAACCCGATGGTGCTCATAATATGGGGTCCAGGGACTCTCAAAATTCTCTGATAGAATTTAGAGGTCTGTGAAGTCAGTTGAGAAGAATATTACATCTTTATTTTTACTAACCTATAACTGAGGTTTAGCATGTCCTTCAGTTACGAAAGTTTTTGAACAAGAAGGGGACCATATGTTTCACCAGACTGATACAAAAAGGTTGAGCACCCCAGATTACTAGTTCAAACTAGTCCAGAAGCAGTTTCTGTTATATTATTTAGAAGAACAATTTTTTTTTTAAAGATTATTTGTTTATTTATTCATGAGATAGACACACAGAGAGAGGCAGAGACACAGGCAGAAGGAGAAGCAGGCTCCATGCAGGGAGCCCGATGTGGGACTCGATCCTGGGACTGCAGGATCATGCCCTCAGCCAAAGGCAAACACTCACCACTAGGCCACTCAGATGTCCCTAGAAGGACAATTCTTTTCTTTCTTTTTTTTTTTTTCAGAGGGACAGTTCTTAAGAGAGATCTTGTTCTAGGTAAACACATGAGGAATTTGACCATTTGGGAATTAAATTAGTTGGTCAGGCAGCCATTTTGATTATAAGCATAATACTCAAAGGTGTGGTAATATCTGAGCTTCAGTTTTCTCTTTGTATAAAATTGAGGGTCCTAAATATTAAAAAAGGTAATTTTAGGGCAGCTCAGGTGGCTCAGTGGTTTAGCACCGCCTTCAGCCCACGACCTTATCCTGGAGACCCAGGATCAAGTCTCGCATTGAGCTCCCTGCATGGATCCTGCTGCTCTCTCTGCCTGTGTCTCTGCCTCTGTCTGTCTGTCTGTCTCGATCATGAATAAATACATAATCTTTAAAAAAAAAATTAAGTTTTTTAATTTTATTTTTCTAGTTTTTATTTTAATTCCAGTTAGCATACAGTGTTCTGTTTCAAGTGTACAATATAGTGATTCAACACTTCCATACATCACCTGGTGCTCATCACAAGTACACGCCTTAATCCCCATCACCTAGTTAACCCATTCCCCCATCCCTCGACTCCCCTTCCTTCTGGTAACCATCACTTTATTCAAAAGAGAAAATTTTTACCATGAGTACAACCACATGGTAAGTGCTCAGTTAGCAGTAAGTAACTGCCACCATTTTAGGAGTAACATATAATCTGTCCCATCACAGTCCACTTTCCATCTTATGGAATTTGGCACTATTATTAATAAATTGGCCATTCTTTTTCTTATCACTTGTTCATTAGTTGACCTCAAAATCTCATTCACAGAACTGTGAAAAGATTTCTATCTGGTATCTTTATTTATTTTTATTTTTAAAAGATTTTTTGTTTATTCATAAGAGACACAGAGAGAGAGGCAGAGACACAGGCAGAGGAAGAAGCAGGCTCCTCACAAGGAGCCCAATGTGGAGCTTGGTCCCCAGACCCTGGAATCACAACCTGGGCCAAAGGCGGACGCTCAATCACTGAACCACCCACATGTCCATATCTGGTATCGTTAAAGCATTATATTTTCTTTGGCAAGGTCATATACATTTTATCTGGTTCCTATTTTGGAAGATTCAGCATTTGTTAAAAGTAATTAAAATGTTGATATTAGCATTTATTACCACTTTTTGCGAGGTTAAAAGTAAAATATTATATACGTATAACTGGTATGCTGTAAGTTTTGGATGAAAATACTATTATCTTTTTTTTTTTCCAATTAATTGCTAAATCAACTACCAGACTTAATTTGCTGCAAGTCTAGTATTTATTTCTGAAAGACCCCCCCCTTCTTGAGTTCCCTCAAAACAACAAGCTTACTCAGGCATAAGGTCTTTTAGCCAGCTGTGGGCAGAGAGCAGGCACTGTGTAATGAGCCCTTTGGCACTTTGCCTTTTGCTGCCACACCAGGTCTGTCTCTGCCCAGTATGAGAGAACTTTGTTCCCTGTGGCTCTCATGATACATGTGCAGTCCATATTCCTGTGTGGGTGTGGTGGTCCCCAGCTGTAGGCCATTTAGTTCTCATATTTCTTCTGTGTCAGTAAGATTTGGTCTGGAGGAGCTTCCAGCTCTACACTGCTGGAACTAGCCTCCCTTCCCTGCTTCATCATGTGATGGGATTTTCCTTTTGCTTGGAGCTGTTTCTGTATACTATAGTCAGAATGTAAATTTTGACCAGAGTGGGGGATGAAAATTATCCTAGATGGAATAGATTCATAGTGAAGGAGTAACCCCAGTAATTGAAAATTGTATCTGGATTGATTTCCATCAAGAGACCTAGGGTATAGTCCCTGGGGCAGCACTAGAGTGGGAGGCCCAGTTTTGTAGGATTTTTGAACCATTTAGACAAAAACTATTAATAGGATAAAAGATCATCTGTGGGAGCCTTAACTAGCATTTTCCTGTAGAGGAACAAGGGTTCTTCACTAGATTTTTCTAAATGTATTTATTCTGATGACTATATTAACTTAGCAACTTAAACATTTTTTTGAAATACTTTTTGATCAAGCAGTGCATTCATTTGGTGCAAAAATCCAATACATAAAAAAGGGTGAAGAGTGAAAAGTTTCCCCTGGTCTGTCTCCCTGGCCACCTGCTTCCCTTCCCTAGAGGTAGCCAGTTGAACCTATTTATGTATCCTTTCTATTAAACAAGTTTTTAATGAGTTAAGTTTGCTCACTAAGTCATCATGATAGAGTCTTCTGTATGGTCAGTATGAGCCTTTTAGGCATGGAAAAAAGAGTATGTCCCTTTGTTAAGTAAGTAAATCGACACTTTATATACTTAGCTCATGTGATGAGGTTACACAAGTCACATTTTTGGAAGCTAATCAACTCTTGAATACATTGACACTTTGTGGTTTTCTTTTTCCCTTTCTTATTTATTTAGTTTTTCCTTTTTGCCTCTACCAAGTTAAGACTAGACTGCTTCATCATGGGCTGTTTAGTTGGTAGTCAGCAACTAGTTTCAGTGTGTTACTGTGTTTTAGCTGTCTCTCATGGCTGTATATTTCCCTCCTGGTAAATGAACTTTGTGACAAAGAAGTATAATTTATCCTTTTAGTTAATTACAGATATCACCATTTACATTTGGAAAATTAGTTGGTACGTTTACTATTCGGGGAGCTGAATCTCTGGCTGCAGTTCAAATGGTGAATGTTAACCAAGACAGAGAAGAAGAGTAAGCACTTTGTAATGACCTTGTATTTGGGTCAGACTCACTCAGTGTGAGCCTACTTTTGGTTTAGTTTGAGCCATTTAGATGTTTTAAAAGAAATTCTCAATTGCCAATGAATGATAATGTTATCATTATAACATTATACCATATTAGGGACCATATTAGGGACCATATTAACCATATTAGGGACGCCTGGGTGGCTCAGTGGTTGAGCCTCTGCCTTTGGCTCTTGGGATCCCGGGGTCCTGGGATTGAGTCCTGCATCATGCTTCCCACTGGGAGCTTGCTTCTCCCTCTACCTATGTCTCTGCCCCTCTCTCTCTCTCTCTCATGAATAAATAAATAAAATCCTTTAAAAAAAAACATATTAATTCTTATTGATTTGTCTCCTCTCTTAGGTTTGAAAGAGAAGCTAGTGAGGAGCTTTGAAGTCTCTCCAGATGGGTCATTCTTGCTGATAAATGGTGTTGCTGGATATCTTCATTTGTTGTTGATGAAGGTGAACCATTATTAGTGGTTGCTTGTTCTTTTAGGACAAGATTTTTAGTGTAGGGATAGTCTTTGAACCATAACTCACAGTGTCCTGAAATCTGCATCTTAAGCAGGGGGGCACAGTGGGACTTGGGAAGAGCTTCCGAGTGTAGGGACAAACATAGCTGAGTAGGTACTACGAATCACACTGAGCCAGTGTGATTCTTCCATGCACCTCTTAGCATTTTGATAAGTAATATTTGTTATTCTTCCAGACTAAAGAATTGATTGGTAGCATGAAAATTAATGGGAGGGTTGCAGCGTCCACATTCTCTTCAGATAGCAAGAAAGTATATGCCTCTTCAGGTAAGTTAATGACATGATCATCTAAAGCTTTTCTTAAAGGCTTTGGATGTGTTTATATTTCAGATTTAGCCAAAAACAGTGTTTGATTTTAGACTTTTGTGTTAGTTAGAAAGTCATTTTTAATTTTAGAATTTGTCATTGCCGGGCAGCCCGGGTGGCTCAGCGGTTTAGTGCTGCCTTCAGCACAGGGTGTGATCCTGGAGACATGGGATCAAGTCCCACGTCAGCTCCTTGCATGGAGCCTGCTTCTCCCTATGCCTGTGTCTCTGCCTCCCTCTGTCTCTCTCTCTCTGTCTCTCGTCAATAAATAAATTTAAAAATAAAAAAAGAATTTGTCATTGCCATTTGTCTTCTTATTTACTAACTAGTAATAGTGAAGAGCTAACTGTTTAACCATGTTACCATGTTTGGGGAAAAGATGGAAAGAAAATACTTATTTAAAAGATGATTCATTTTCAGACTTTGTTTTTGAAAGTTACTTGGAATCATCACCCTTTTTCTTTTAGAAGTATGTCTTCACTTGGATAACGTTTTGAATGTTCTTCATTATTGACGGAAGACAATTCAGATCTCACCCTCTGACTTCTTGTGGTGCAGTTGACCAACTATTTCTCACTCTTGACAGTCTCTAATCTGGCACTTTTCTGCTCTTTGCCTCTGTCCTGTGCCACCTTGGACTCTTAGTCCCTTAACTGTAGGATCTTGGGGCCATCATAATCTCAGTGTAGTTCATGCTGCTTGGTAGTGGGAGGCATCAGAGTGGTTCTACCACTACCTGTGGTAGTGGTTCTACTATTCTTCAATCTCTGTGGGGCTCTTTAGCATAATTTTTGCTATACTTCAGCTAAGAGCACCTGATAACATAGCATTAGGGGCTTTGAGGTATAATTGACATATATTAAATCACAACAGTGATTAAATGTTTGTATATATTGCAAATGATCACAGTAAGTCTAGATATCACCTGTCACCGCACAGTTACAATTTTTTTTTCTTGTGATGAGAACTTATAACATCTCTCTTAGCAACTTTCAAATATGCTCTACTGGGACGCCTGGGTAGCTCAGTGGTTTAGCGCCTGCCTTCGGCCCAGGGCATGATCCTGGAGTCCTGGGATCGAGTCCCACGTCGGGCTCCCTGCATGGTGCCTGCTTCTCCCTCTGCCTGTGTCTCTGCCTCTCTCTCTGTGTGTCTCTCATGAATAAATAAATAAAATCTTAAAGAAAACAAAAACAAATAATGCTCTACTGTGTTGTTAACTGTAGTTCACCATATTATATATTGTCTCCATGATTTATTTTATAACTGGCTTAAAAAGTTGTTTTGGGTTTTTTGTTTTTTGTTTTTTTCTTTACAGATTTATTTATTTTAGAGAGTGCAGTAGTGAGGGAGGTAACCATACTTTTTTTTTGGCTCTTTAATTCAGGTGATGGGGAAGTTTATGTTTGGGATGTGAACTCTAGAAAGTGCCTTAACAGATTCGTTGATGAAGGCAGTTTATATGGATTAAGCATTGCCACATCTAGGAATGGGCAATATGTGGCTTGTGGGTAAGTAAAGAGAGGTTCTTGTAACCTTAATGATGTGCTAGTGGAAAAATATTAAAGAATTGAATACAGTAGATAGTGCTTAAGTAGTTCTATTTATAAACTGTTCAGTAATAGAAAATCAGTACACCCAGGTCTTTTGCACATCATCTTAATGCAATGTTTAATAATGTTAATGGTGGCTAATCAGCTCTTTGACAAAGAAATACTGGACTGCTTTATATCATTGTATTTTTTCTTGTATTTGAAATATTCATTTATTCACATCAGGTTTTCTTATTACTCTTGGTTTCTTGCCGTTGATAAGGAAACAATAAGTTAAACTTTGGGTTTAAGTTTCAAAGATACTTAAAGCACTTTTTTCTTCAGCTAGTGGTATAAATCAAACATGTTGCTAAGAAATACTGTTTGTTAATATTGTAGAAACTTTGAAAATATTATCTAGAACATGTTACTGTGTTGTCACTGGAAAGAAATGGTTGTTACACTAGGGGAAAGATGGCTCTATTCTCCTACTTGATTCTTTTTTTTAGTATTTTTATTTTATTTACTCCTGAGAGACACAGAGAGAGAGAGGCAGAAACACAGGAAGAGGGAGAAGCAGGCTTCCCACAGAGAGCCTGATACAGGACTCGATCCCAGGACCCCGGGATCACAACCTGAACCAAAGGCAGAGAGGCTCAGCCACTGAGTCATCCAGGTGCCCTCTCCTATTTGATTCTAAAGATGCATGGGGCGAGGGGGCATTGGAGACTTACCTGAATTTCTGATTATCTTATTTTCCAAGCCACTCAACAGCACCTGAAACTTTAGATCTTCTGACAGTGGATTTTTATGACGTTCTTAGTGTATACACAACTTCAGTCAAATCTCCCTGGGTGAGAGATGAAGTGGGTCTTGCCATCTGTTAGTATGGCATATGCTTTCTTCATTCCCTCCTTCAGGTTAAAATTGGGGCAAATCCTTGTAAACATCCCCACCACCATTTGAAAATTGGTCACCTACTACCTTTGGGGCATGGGGTGGGGGCGGGAAAGAAGGTAAAACCAGGCTGTGGAGCTTGGAGACCAGGTCCAAATAAAGGCCTTGACAAAGGCCCCTTCCTGTCCTATGTTCTCTCTAGTCACCACACCTACTACAGACCTATAGGGAGGGATGTCCCCATGTGAGCCCAGCATTTGCCCAGTGTGTGCATGATGGCAGTAGTCCATGGTTAGCAGAACTTCTGGGAGTAAAGCTCCCTTAAAATGAAAGCTGACGTTGAAGCTAATTTTAAATAATTTTAAGCAGAATTGCCCCCAAATGACCTTCACTCAAATTTGTGAAGTTAGTTTTCTGGTCCTTGCCTCTCTTTTTTGAATTACTTTTATTATTTTATTCATGGACCCTTTGAAGAGCCCAAAAAGGAAAGAATCTAATACTAGTTTAAACTCATTTGGGATCCCTGGGTGGCGCAGCGGTTTGGTGCCTGCCTTTGGCCTAGGGCGCGATCCTGGAGACCTAGGATCGAATCCCACATCGGGCTCCCGGTGCATGGAGCCTGCTTCTCCCTCTGCCTGTGTCTCTGCCTCTCTCTCTGTATGACTATCGTAAATAAAAAAAATAAAAAATAAAAAATAAACTCATTTATTTGTCCTCAGTGTAATAGAATTCTGATGTTCTTGGTCAAAGACCATTATTAGGTTTTTATTGTTATACCTGTAGAGAAAGGCCTTAACCTTGTTAGAGGAATTTCTGAGGTTATTAGAGAGGTAGGGAGGAGTTACTGGTGGTGGAGAAGCCAGAGGCAGGAGTAGCTGAACCCCACTGGCTGGTGCTGGCTCCCTTTCTCTCCCCTTCCCCTTTCTTCTGTCAGCGCCTTGCTTCTCTTCTCTCTACCCTCTGCTGCCCTCTTTGCCCTCCTCCTCGTAGGACTGCCCTGAAACCCCTCTCTCTAGGCCTCTGCTGTTAGGAATTGACTCCTTTGGTCTAAAAACTCCTCTGTTTTGTATCTGTTAATTCTTCTCATTCAGTGTCCTGACATAAGGTAGATGCTTTGAATGTGGTTTTAGCTCTGATAGGGCGATAGGGAAACTAAGATTGTAAATAGTTCCACTTATGTTGTTTTTTATGGCATTTGTTAACGTAAGGATTGCAATATGCTTTTATAAAGTGTTCATATTAATTTATGCAACATCAGTATTAGAGTGTACTTGGGAAATGTCTGGCCTACCTTCATTCTGTGGATAGGGACTGATGCTCTGAAGTGTTCTCTAGGAGACCACTGAAATCACTGACAGAGTAGGGCCTAGAACCCTGTAGTCTCACTTTTTCAGGTGCAGTACCTCTCTCACTCCACTGGGTGGAATCTGTAGTTAGGTCATACCTTTGCTGCATCTTCTGTAAGTGCAACAGGGTGTCTTGTTTTGTGACTTCCTAGCTGGTCCGGAAGTCAGTCATTAAAAAGAAAGACATGTGAATGTCTGCTAGGTGCAAAGCACTGTATATTGAAGAATGAAAAGGAATTGAGACATGGCATATTCTGTCTTGTGTGTGATAGCCCTTTGTGTGCAGAGGCCCCTCTGCCTCAGAAGGTAGCTTACCAAATTCAGATATCCTCATAAGCTGACTGAGTGAGTCTCCTTTATTTTGTTTTATTTTCTCTGCTGACAGTGAGGAAGTTGGGAATGTCTCATCCTGCAGCCATGCCACAAATCACTAGCTTAGCCTCCTGTCTTTACTAGGGGTGCAAGCTACACACCACTTTGGGGTCTTTGCATTTTGAGAACTTTAGGTCAATGCCATAGAAGTATCTATTTTTGCATTTTCAGATCAAAGTTCTATCAGGTGATTAGAGATTTGTTGGCTCTAGCCTTTATCAGCTCCTTATAAATACACAAATTAAAATAGCCTTTTTAGGGCTCCTGGTGGCTTAGTCAATTAAGTGGCTGCCTTTGGCTCAGCTCATGATCCCAGGTTCCTGGAATCGAGCCCCACATTGGGCTTCCTGCTCCATGGGGAGTCTGCTTCTCCCTCTCCCTCCACCGCTCCCCTCGCTCATGTGTTCACTCTCAGATAAAATCTTTAGAAAAAAATAAATAAAATTGCCTTTATTGTTCCCATCTAAATAGTTTCAAACTTTGATTAATAATTACAATGAAAAGACTTATCAGCAATTTTTTTCCCATCATTTACCATGTGCCAAGGACTGTTTTTCTTGTGTAACTATATGTACATATGTGTGTGTATATTAACCATATATGTGTATGGGTGTATCTATATATTTTTCATATATGAATTAAGTCTCATTTCCTACTTCACAATATGGGTACTATTATCTCCATTTTACAGGTTGGGGGGCTGAGGCATTGTGAGTTAAGTAACTTGGTTAATGTTACACAGAGAGTAAGAGGTAGAGCCAGCAGTTACAACCCAAATAGTCTGGCTGCAAAGCCCGAGCTCTTAATGACTCTACTGCCTGTTTTGAAGCTATACCTTTCTGCATTTGTGTTTACATATGTACAGGCGGGATGTCTGGGTTGCTCATTGGTTGAGCCTCTGCCTTTGGCTCAGGTCATGATCCCATGGTCCTAGGATAGAGTCCCACATCAGGGAGTCTGATTCTCCCTCTTCTTATGTCTCTGCCTCTCTCTCTGGGTCTCATGAATAAATACAATCTTAAAAAAAAATGTAAAGGCAGTTTACTAGGAGTTTTGTAGATTAAGAAATCTTATAAGAAGCAAAGAAAGTTTATAGTTTAGTTTGTCTTGAGTATGAATCCTTTTGTACCATGTATGTAATCCCTTTGGAAAATCTGCTTCAACTATTCTGTTTCAGCTTTTACATAGCTTTATATTTTATCTCTTTAAATCTCTAAATGTACCTTGGATTGCTATTTCTTCTACTTAAATCTGGATTTTAAATCCTTAGCTTAAGACTTTGCTTCAGGATTTTTGTGATATCAGTAACCTTTCTGGGTTTGGAAAATATGAGAACTAGTCTTCTGGAACTTAAAGCTAATGAACAAGTGTCTCTTTCATCTTTGTGCTGTAGGATATTTTCAGTATTCGTTTTTTATTCTCATCGTTACTGTCCTGTTTCTGTTCCCTCCCTTGTTTGTGTCCAGATTGGCATCTTAGTCTAATCCTGCATGTCCATCACAGTGGCCAGTACCACATTTAAAGTGTTCAGTAGCTGCATGCATGTAGTGGCTTCTCATCTTGAACAGTGCAGATACAGAGCATTTCATTATCAAAGGAAGGTGTGTTGAATCACACTTTGTTGATAAAGAGGTCTAAGAGTTGGTTAATTTAACTTTTTTCATTGGTTGTTAATCATTAAACTGATTATTGGCAGAGCCAGGTCTGGAACTCAGGTTGTCTCATTCCCAGTTCTGTGTTCTTTCCACACTGCCAACCTCAATCAAATATTTTGATTTTATATTCAGAAAATACTGGATAATTCAGGGCTATAGAAAAATATGAAATTCATTAGGATTTAGGGCCCAGAATTAATTGTTCTATCAAAAAAATTAATTTTTTTAAAAAGACTTAATTTATTTACTCATGAGAGACACAGAGAGAGGCAGAGACATAGGCAGAAGGAGAAGCAGGCTCCATGCAGGGAGCCTGATGTGGGACTCAATCCTGGGACTCTAGGATCACACCCTGGGCGGAAGGGAGGCGCTAAACTGCTGAGCCACCCAGGCGTCCCAATTGTCCTTTAATTTTAGCACTCTCATTGAATATATAAAATGGGTTTCATTTTAGTTCATGTAGAGAATTTTCAGGCCATATATGTTTTACAGTGCCAGGAAAATCTTCAGGACATGTATGTTTCATAGTGCCGGGAAAACCTGTTTTATTGAATGTTGTGTTTCTGCCTTGGTCTTTTCATTGCTAAAAACATTGACCATTTAGCTAGGGACTGTGAGATAGAAGAACAACAGCGTGTCACCATCTTATGATTCCTGGTCCCGTGGTGAGGACAGATGTGTATCCATGTATCTCTTTATAGACAAGTCTTCATGAGGTCTGCAGTTGAGATACAGTGTTTTTTTAAGAGCGCAGGAAACAGGTGAAGACTGTCCTAACCGTCATCTGGAAAAGTATTTTTGCAGGTATTGGCACTTGAGCTAAGCATTTGAGGGCCAGGTAGGATTCAGAGAAAGGCATTGCAGGTAGTGGAAATGAAGGCTCTGGAGGGGAGACGATCCAGGTTTAGATTCTGAGTGGAGTGCAGATGGGATGACTTCTGAGGGCTTCGACTACAGAGGGAAACAGGAGAGGGAGAACTTGTAGGGGTGTTTTACCCTGTGTCGAAGACTGTGGACATGACATTGAGTGGAAAGAGAAAGTGTCAAGGGTTTTTAAGTAGAGGAGAATCATGATTGTATCTGAATTTGAGGGTTTGAAGTAGACAATTCCTGTGACAGCCTTTAGGGGGAGGAGCAGAGGTGCAGGGAGCTTTGAGGTGATTGCAGTAATCCTGGTGGGGCTGTCTCTGAGGACAGTGGGAATGAGAGCAGGGGAGAGGGGCCCCTGGGTGGCTCAGCGGTTGAGCCTCTGCCTTTGGCTTGGGGCATGATCCTGGGGTTCTCGGATCAAGTTCTACATCCGGCTTCCTGCATGGGGCCTGCTTCTTCCTCTGCCTGTCTCTCTCTCTCTCTCTCTCTCTCTCTCTCTCTCAGTCTCTAATGAATAAATAAATAAAATCTTAAAAAAAAAAAAACAACGCAAGAGAGGCACTGATGTTTGTGATGTATGTCATAGCCGCTTAGAGAATTGGGATGGGAGAGAAGCAGTGATGTTCTTGGGTTCCAGGCCTGAGTAGCCAGAAGAATGGACTTGTCTTAGTATGAGCGGGGAGGAGGTGGCATGTTGAAAGAGGTGCATTCATTCCCACAAGCAGAAGTGTGGTGTGGCTGAGAGTAAAGGCACTGATTTGGACATGATAGGAGACAGGTGGTCTGGTCCGTAGGAGAAAATGAGGTGAATGAGATGCTAGAGGTAGGTGGGAAGTAGAACCCTGGGGACCAGAGTCACTGGAGAAGGGAGGTGACTGAAAGTGAGAAGAAAATCAAGAGTTTGGTCTTTTTTGGTCTTGAAAAAGAGTTCTTTGTTCAACCAGTTTAAGTTCTATATGACACCTGTGGCTAGGGGGACGCCTAGCCCCCCTTAGCTAGGGGTTGGGGGAATTGTCCCTGGTTGAATAACTACTGTTCTACCTTATAATTTCTTTTGTTCATAATATTAATTTCTTTGTGCTCTTCTTTTTTCGCACCACCACCTTGGTTCCTAGTCCTAGTTCATAAGACAAACATTGGTTTGGCTTGTTGCCATCATTCCTTTTTGTGAAAGTTTTTGTGTACCAGGACACTCTGTGGTTGCTATTCTGCTAATACATTGACTACCCGGGATTCAGGAACTTGTTTCTAGCCCAGTCAGCTGTAGTTGTGGGTGGATGGATGACAGTCATGTCTGCTTCTTTAGTTACGAGTTCTGGGGTAAGCTAGTAAGCATGCTTATTTCTCTGTTCTGTTCTTCCCCTTACCTATGATACTGGTATTTTGTTTTGTCCAGCTCGAGTCCAGTGTCTTCCATGATGTTTCATCTGGTCCAGCTTCACCTCATACTGATTTTTCCTTTCTCTGAACATAGGTCACATACAGAGCTTAATGTGCTTTATTATATTTTCTTAGGTTTTTGGCTGTTTCATGCAGATATTTTTTTTTCTGGGATAAATTCCTTCTGATATTTTGTATTCCTTATTATGTACTGTTGGACATACAGTACTCATTCAATAAATACTAAACACTGTCAGTGACATTAGAATCTATTTATATCAATTTTTTTATATCCTTTTTTAAGATTTAAACATTTATTTTTTAAAAAAGATTTTATTTATTCATGAGACACAGAGAGAGAGAGGCAGAGATATAGGCGGGGGTGGGGGGGGGGAGGCAGGCTCTATGCAGGGAGCACGATGTGGGACTCCTTCCTGGGACCCCAGGATCACGCCCTGAGCCGAAGGTAGGCGCTCACCACGGAGCCACCCAGGTGTCCCTAAAAACTTATTTTAAAGAGAGAGTGTGTCCATGAGGGTGAAGAGGAGGGACAGGGAGAGAGGAACCCAGTTAGACTCTGCATAGAGCATGGAGCCTAGAGCCCAAAGTAGGACTCGATATCATGATCTGAGCTGAAACTGAGAGTAGATGCTCAACCGACTACACCGTCCAGGCATCCCAGAATCAGTTATATTCTTTTAGCAGAAATACTACTAAAATAAGTTTCTATATATCAAAATGATTAACTTGTGCCATTTTTGTTCCACAAATTTAAGCAACAGTCAAGTAAGAATGAGCAGGCCTTTATTTAAAGTTCATGATAGTAAGATTTGATCTAAAATTGATATATAGAAGAGAGCCATATGGATTATAACTTTTTGTACCTAATTAAGATGGATTTAGCCATAAATCAGTGTTCAGTAAGAAAAGAGATTTGGTATAAGTACAATGATGAGTAGATATTTTGATCCAAGTTAAAGTTAAAAATATGGGTAAGGAAAAGATGAAATTTGTCTTAGTCCATTTGGGTTGCTGTAATGAAGACCCATAGACTAGCTTATAAATAACAGAAGTGTATTTCTCATATTTCTGGAGACTGGGAGTCTGAGGTTGGGGTGCCAGCATGATTGGGTTCTGATGGAGACCCCCCCTCCCAGCTTACAGACAGTCGATTTTTTGTGTTCTTACACGGAAAGAGGGAGAGAGCCTCTGGGGTCACTTTTGTAAAGACTCTAATCCCATTCAGGAGGGCTCCACCATCATGACCTAATTCCCTCCCAAAGGCCCCACTCCCTAATAAGGAGGGAGGGTGGAATTAAGGTTTCATCATAGGAATTTTAGTGGAGCATAGATATTCAGTCCATAACAAATATGTTTTTTAAGGATTTTATTTATTCATGAGAGACACAGAAAGAGAGAGGCAGAGAACATAAACATAGGCAGAGGGAAAAGCAGGCTCCATGCAGGGAGTCCAATGCAGGACTTGATCCCGGGACTTTAGGATCATGCCCTGAGTCGAAGGCAGACAGACGCTCAACCACTGAGCCACCAGGGCGTCCCCCATAACAACACTAAATAAAACAGGGATATATGTTGTGTCTCCTGAGTGGTTATGGTTAGTTCTACTTAAAAGGTCTTAGAATCAAATGAGAAAATGGGTATGTAAATAGTTTGAAGACCTGAAAGCACTAACATACTGTTTGTATGCTTGGTTGTCACTGCAAGTACAGAACCTTGTTTGTGAACTGAATTGGTCTTGTTAAGGCACTGTGTCTGGTTCATTGTAGGCAGTCAGTATGTACTAAGAGAATAAATGAAGATATCTGAGTGTTAGGAATGAGAGTGTTTAGTGGAATGTACATATGTCACCCTTGTGACTTTGAGACTTTATCTCTTACATCTTTCAGGTTTATGCCGCATTTGCCAATGAAATTTGAATTAAGTATCTATGAATTACAAGTGCCTGGTCCCTATTCCTTAGAAATGATACCCATAACAGGAGGTAGTCTGAACATTTACTGAAAGTTCTTGTCTGTGAATGATTCTTTTAATAGGCAGGTCATCGGGATTTACTTTTTATGAGTATTGGATGTAATTCACTGCTGGTAAACATTTCAGTAAAGTTACAGTACATGATCACTTCTGTCATTCATTGACTATAGATATTTCCAGGAGAGAGAAAAAAGATACATATTACAGCTGCTGTTCCACACTGTTTTGGCAGTTCTCACAAATATGATAGAATAAAAGAGAAAAGAGGTGCTCTAAATAGGGGAAGGACAGCTCTTGTTCCCATTTTCAAATGTTGCGTTGGCCATAAACACTGTGGGAGTGGCACGCTTGGTCTCAGTCTTGTTCACCTTTGCATCCCAGGCACTTAACTCTAGTGCTTGGCATAAAGTTGACATTCAATAAATATTTATTGAAGGAATTGATAATGGAGAGTCTGTGCTATCTTGGATTTTTCTAGCTCACAGTTGAAAGGCTGCCAGAGTTCACAGAGTTGAGCAAGACTGCAGTAGAACTGGTAGAGTGGGTCTAGCTTTTTTGCCTTGGGATGAACTCTACAGTCTTGGTCTGTTTGTAACACAATATGATGTGATTCCTGCAAATATCAGTGTGTGGGGTTCAATCTATGTTCACTTGGGTTGTGAAAGCCCTTTTGCTCTTTTTTTAATTTGTTGTATTCCCTTTTCTCTTTGCAGTTCTAATTGTGGAGTGGTAAACATATACAATCAAGATTCTTGTCTCCAAGAAACAAATCCAAAGCCAATAAAAGCTATAATGAACTTGGTTACAGGTGTTACTTCTCTGACCTTCAATCCTACTACAGAAATCTTGGCAATTGCTTCAGAAGAAATGAAAGAAGCAGTCAGATTGGTAATATAGCTTTACCTTTAAAAAAAATCATTGATAATCCTTGGGCTCCACATTGGGCATGGAGCCTAATTAAAAAAAAAAAAAATCTAAAATATACCGAAGGATATGTAGTAGTTCCCCCCCCCCAAAAAAAAAAAAAATCTCAGATTTTAAGTTGAAAACTTTGAGGGATAATAGGAAAGAAGAGTATTGGATTATTTTTAAAAGAGTAGCTTCTTTTGAAGCTACTAGTATTCTTTTACTAGTATCATGGCTTTTGGGTGTAGTTGCAGAAGGGATGATGCACAGTAGCTGCTAAATTTGTCTTAGGGAATATGTTTATAGCAAACACTTTATTTTTCTACAGTTGTTTTTCCTTATATCTACCTTTTAAGCCCTACTATCCTAATGGAGGAAGGGAGGCAATTCTTAGATTCTGAAAATAAATTGAACTTGAAAATTGTGTAAAAAGATAACAGCTTACGTGGCTAGCTAGTACTTGTGAATATGCCTCCATGCTAGGAGGCCCCAAGCTCTCCCCAAGCTGGTGATTTGCTAGGATTCACAGGACTCTGTATATGATCTCAAGATCATAACCAAGAGTTACTACAAGGAAAGGATACACAGCGCAGTCAACCAAGGGAGGGGCGCCTGGGGCGAAGTCTGGAGGAAACCAGGTGCCGGCTTCTGTTCTCTCCTAGTGGAGTCACACAGGACATGTGTAATCCTGTAGGAGGTTGTGATTACATATGTGAAGCGTGCTCTATCATTAGGAAGTCCGTGCTCATGGTCCGTATTGGTGGTTGATCATGTAGTTCCCCTCTGCCTAGCATGTATCAGAATTCTAGGCCTGGAGAAGTAAAGGCAGGTGGTCCATGGAAAGCACGTGGTACGAATGCTTTAGGCCTGGGGAGCTATTCTTATCCTCTAGGGACAGTGTCGAGTCAGTGTAGGAACTATTGATCAGTCAAGTTTCCAAAGGTGATGTAAGGGCCGCCCTTGCAGCCTCAGGTCTGCGTTACCTCCTTTCTTCCCAGCCACAGAGCCCAGCTCACGTGTCACCATGTCTCCCGGAAGTCACCTACTCTTGAGGCAGAACCAGTTTCTTATTATTTAACAGTTACTTGCTCCAGGCAGCAGGTCCACACAAGGCACAGTACTCTGAATGGCAGTGCTGCACTGTGTTGTTACGTGTGTACTACCAGATTGTAAGCCCTTAGACTCTTAGATTTATCTTGTTCGTGCAGCAAAAGGTTTTGCATGCTTCATTAGCTTTGTGTAATAGCAGCACATAGTTTACGAAGAGTTACAGAGTTCTTCACAATAATTTGGGGCCAAGTAACAGTCCTCAGAGGATTAACTCACCCAAAGTCGAGAGCTAGTAAAGGGCAGAACTGTGCTTCTAGATTCTCCATTCTTCCTAGTACTTTAGTGGTTTTCCAACTGAATTCCTCTGTTCCCTGGAATGTGTACAAAACTTCATATGGCAAGTAGAGCAAGGAGGCTAAGCCCTACCCATATCACACAGAGCAGCTTTGCTGTTATCATTGGTGTATGTTGGCATTCTCCATAAGATTTTCTTGGAGGGAACAAAGAATTCTGTTGGAAAAGAGTGAAAAATACAGCATTGTGTTTTACTGCCTTTATGTTGAATGGATGGTTTGATGCATGAGAAGGTTCTAATTCAAGTCAGTTTTAAAGTCCTCAGTCCTCTAATGGGAGTGGATGACTAGCACACATTGACCTTTTATCATTTTAATGGCATTAAATTGTTCTAGAAAACCATGGGATCCGTCTCCTGTTGACATAATATATACTGCTAGACACCTCGTAGTTAGTTCTGCCTAGTTTGCTTCAGTGAGCATGGCAGCATTTATGGTTTTTTACTGTGGCAAAATCACACAAGGAATTCATTAGTAACAGCCAAATCCCATTTTTTAAATGGTAGTCAACCATAATATCTAATGGAAAGAAGCCAGGCATAGCAGCTTCAGAATGCCTCAGCGAAACAGCATTAGTATCATTAAAGGCAGTCTCTTATAATGATCCAAACAATCCTGTTACCCCAGCACAAAGCAGTGAGTATAAATCTAAGCCATTGCGGCAGTAAGAGACTCAGAAGTTAAATTGTTAGTGCATCTACAATCTTTGATAGTAGAAAGTCGTGGAACTTTTTATCCATTAAATTAAGGATGAGTGAGCTTTTTACTTGATGAATTTTGATACCTTGGCCCTTAAATGTAATGCAGAGATGGTGTCGGAGGTAAAGGGAACTTTCTGAGGTAAAGAAGTTGTGTTTTTTTCTTTTCTTTTAAAGAATCTATTTATTTTAGAGAGCATGCGTGAGTGCAAGGGGTTGGGCACAAGGAGCAGAGGGAGAGAGAAACTCAAGCAGCAGACTCCCCTCTGAGCATGGATCCTGCGGCGGGGCTTGATCCCAGCATCCTGAGATCATGACCTGAGTCAAAATCAAGTGTCAGATGCTTAATCGACTGAGCCACCACCAGGCGCCCTTGAGCTTTTTTCTTAATTAACAGTTCAATTAGAGCTTTTAATACAAGGGCCATAAAGAGAGGTTTGAGCACAGCTGATGTCTCAGCAGGTGGGTGGGAGTTGGCTGGTTTGAAGGAGGAAGTGCTGATTGGGGGGGGGGTACTTCACAAATAGATACAGCTGGGTCTCTTAGGAGACCACTGTAAACATGTTTTTGCTCTTGATAGTCAAGTCTAGAGGAGATAAAATATAAAAATAAGTGGTTGATGAATTGGTTTTTATCCTCTGTCCGAAGGAGCACACTGGCCTGTTGTATGAAGCCATGGCCAACTGTGTAGAGTTGTGTAGGTTATTTGTTATCAGAGGAATCACCATTTATATCATAAACTTTGTTAAGTATGTGTATTTACCACAGTATTTCTGATACTCTCTTCTGTTTATTTAGCTAAAAATAACACAGTGACCTTCTGATAAAAATGGCTTTTAAAAAATTTATGTTATGTCTTATGCCCCAATGTTTGCCCCATAGTGAGTTCCCTATTTGTAATAAGCAGTTGACCTAAGTATAAAGTTACATGAATCCAAATTAGGAGACTGTTTTTTCCAATTTAGGTTAGAAAATAAAAGAGGATGGCTTAATTATCTTTAAGAAGTTATTCAAGTGGAAAGGTCAGTTCTGGTGTGTTTCATTTTGGAAGAGTCAGAAAAGCAGCTTCTCAGACTTCAAAGTCATGCTAGCAAAGTTAATAAGCAAATATCTGGGGCATAGTTTAAAAGTACCAGGTGACATATAGGGTGGAAACAAAGTGAGGCATAGGACAGTTGGCACTTGTAGAAAATGGTTATTTCCTGATGGTCTGTTCCCATGATGCCTTGGATCTCCTGTTTAAAGTCGGTGCTTGCTTGGAGGATGCAAACTTAGAACAGCCTAAGCAAAGTACAAGAAGCCAAACCACTTTTCAAAAATTCACATAATTTCCACATTCCCAAAGTAAGTGCAGATAAATTTTGCGATATTCACATTGTGGCTTCTCTCCTGAAATAACTAGTCTGCTTTAAGTATTTAGTTTTTTTTTTAAATATATTTTTCAAGGAACCTATATAGAAAATGGTGTTTAAGAACTTTAAAAGTTAAGATCAAGTCCAGGCACTGCCAGCTTCTTGGCTGTAATGGATCTAGACCACTTCTCAGTAGTACTACTGTCTGTGCGTTGATGCTATGCTGCACAGGAAGACTCTGCTTTCTGGGAAAGTTGAGAATGGAAGTGGCTTGGAGATTCACCTTGAACTTTGCTTTCTTATACTTAACAAAACGGTCAGTAGGTATATATCAGAATGAATAGGGCCTAATAAGTGACTAACTGAAATCTATAGACAGATGTGTATATCACTAGGTTTTACCCGGGGCTCATCTATGAAAATAACCTTGATTGGATGGTTTAAAGTCTCATCTAAACGTGTGGAGGGTGACAGGCTACCAACATAAATAGCTGAGCGATAGCTCTCCGCATATCTTGGAATATGAAGGTACAGTATGTTTTAGAAGAGGTAGAGAATATTTGAAAGTGAGAGTTGTTAAAATCCTAGTCTACTTCAGGTAACTGCTTTTGTGCTAGCATTCTGTTTATCCACAAATCGGATGAGGACTCGTTCCATCAGTCTTAGGTTCAGGCTCATTTTCCCCTGAAGTAGACTCTTTTGGAGAAAGAGCCGGTGTGGCCCCCGCCCCCACGCCCCATGTTTAGGTCAGGCCTGGAAGTGAGTTTTTGGCTCTGTCTAAATTGGAACACAGTTTCACTTGACGAAGCAGGTTTTCATGAGTTTGTTTTCCTTCAGAGGAGATTGGAAAAGGCCAAGAATACATTATATAGGTTGAAAATAAAAGTGTAGAAAGGAAATTATGTGATATTGGAATAGTTGGTAGGACTTTGCTAGGCTTCAGTTATATAAAATCAGACTCTTCATAATTGAGGTCATAATTGTGACCAAATTTTAGTATTGTTTACCGTGATCATTACGTTACAGCAGTAATGGGTGCCGTTGTGGACTTTTACTTTAGTGTGTGTGTTCATTTACTCATTCACTCAGCAAACATCAGAATCTCGCGGAGCACCATGCTAGATGCTGCATTAGAAGTATCAAGGAGACACTTTTCTTCTTTTCCTCCGTTCTCTTAGTTAAAGCAAATCGAAAAGCAAATTTTAATTTCAGAACACTTTGCTCTGTACTACAATCAAAATGAACTTACTGTTCCGTCAGAAAGGTGGACAATACCTAAAATTTAAGAAAGATGAGTTTGCAATTGTGATTTAAAGTTTTGAACTATTTCCTACAGGTTCACCTTCCCTCCTGTACAGTATTTTCAAACTTCCCAGTCATTAAAAAGAAGACTATTTCTCTTGTTCATACCATGGATTTTTCTCCCAGAAGTGGATATTTTGCCTTGGGGAACGAAAAGGGCAAGGCCCTGCTATATAGGTGGGTGTTATTTATCTGTTTTAAACGTCAGAAATACTTGTAACCTTCTTTTGAGAGTATGAAGAGATACTGTTGTTATATTCTCATTTCAACACTTAAATGCAGTTTATTAATTCTACAGCTTATTGATCAACTAGTCATAAATGATTAATTGTAGAGTTAAGCTTGTCAATTTAGCTTGACTGTCCTCATTGTCTAACAAAATGCATCTTTCTACCATAAAATGTGACTAGAAGAAAAGTTCACCTGGAGGTTTATTTATTAATTAAAAAAATATTTATTTGGGAGTGGTAAGGTATATTTTGAGAATGTCAATTTGAGGAAGAGTAGCCACTTTAATAATGCCACTTTTTTTTTTTAATAATGCCACTTTCTTAGTGTCTTATGTTTAGATTAACCCTTGTCGATGATAATTCATATTTATTCCACCAGATTTAAATGATTTTTTTTTTTTTTTTTTTGAAAAAGGTACTGCTTTCCCTGCAGCTGTAGCTGTAAATAAGGATATCAACCATAGAGAGATCTATAAGTTATGCTCTGCCCAGGTTGTTTTCTGCACTCAACATATTTGGCTATAAAGCGGGAACAAACAAACTCTAATTGCACAGTTGCTAGAAGATACAGGTGACGAGGTGGCTCTTCTGGGAGAGCTGATGAACTGGAAGCCTGTAACTTTGGTCACAGCTTCTGTCCTTGCTCCCTTGAGTTGATGGTGAATATTGCTTAGGACCCTAAGTTTATTTCAGGATACTGAAATCTGGCATGAAGAAAAGGAGGAATGTAAATTGGTTTTGAGGAGATAATTGTGAAAAGAGGATATAGCAAACAGTAATATGATCTCAAGTTCTGCTTTGAAAGGAAAATGGGATACACCTGGAAAATTGATGCATTCCATCATTCTCCTTCCCAATCATTTTTGGAGTGGTTCTTTTAGTTCAAGTTTTATAAAAGCATGCAGGTTCCTACTGCACTTAGAAATTCTCTCCGAAAGCTTTGATTTTATTATAATTGCATCCTCTTTTCTCTAAGTTTAAGCACTAGAAGCATTAGGGTCTTCTTGAGAGCACTGCTATCTAGTGAGACTGTTTCTAGCAAGTGAGTTGGACTAACATGTCTGTTGGGTACGACTGATGAGGTATTTCCTAGACTCCCACTGATGCTGTGGAGCAAGTGTAATTTTTTTTTTTAAGATTTTATTTATTTATTCATGAGAGAGTAGGAAGAGGGAGAAGCAGGCCTCCATGCGTGGGGAGCCCGATATGGGACTTGATCCTGGGATCACACCCTGAGCTGAAGACAGACGCTGAGCCACCCAGGCGTCCCACACGTGTAATGTTTTTACCAAAATCTGAGGAGTTAGCTTTAGGATCCTTCAGAATGTCAGATTGAGGAGTCTTAACCTAGCTGCCTGGTGAGAATGATTACAATCACATTTTTTCCCCCTGAAAATCTTCCTATTTGCTATTCCGTGATCTGATTGACAATACTGGTAATCACACAGTTGTTTAGGTGATTTGTCTTTTACTTTTTCAGGTTGCACCATTACTCAGACTTCTAAAGAGAATATTTAAAGTAAGAAAATCTTTTATTCTTTAGGTTTTAAATGTTACATCCATTGCTGTCATTTAGCAGAGGGACCACCTTAGCTGTACGTGGGTTGCTGTATCTTTGGGTGGGGAAGTAGGATGGAAGTAGATCATGAACAGCCTAGTTGGACTTGAACCCTCCTTGGGAATTTTTATTCCAATCACAATTGGGCCCTTTTTCTGAGGTCGGATTTCTAATATGGTGTTCGGTAATGGTCATCAAAATTGTTATTACTGAACATGTAATCCACAAAGGATAGACATAATAGTGAGAAGTATCTTCAGATGCAGTTACAGTTTCCATGGCTCAAACCCCCTTATTTTTATGCTTCTTGAGGGATTAAAAATGGCTTGCCCTTTGGCAACTTAAATGGTAGCTTGTCATGGAGCTAGGTAATGGCTGGTCATTAGTTTTGCTGCCCAGTATTTAAAATAGTAGGACATCCTTCCCTTTTCCATGGCTTGATCTTTGACTTGGAAATGTGGTGGTTCTGAGGTTGAGCTTTGCATTGGCTTGTTCATCACAATTGACTAAGTTGGTCTTTTCTGAGTTTCATACATGTTCTCTCCACATTGAGGAGACTCTTGAGAGTGCATATAGGTTTAATTGTTGAACAAAACATTAGCCAAGAGGGGAAAAGCTGTCTGTTCTGCCTCTCCAAATTATAGAGCCAGCATGTATGTTTGTTGATGACTCGCAGCTGTAAATCATGTATAATTTCTTTTGTTCTTTTCTCAGATGCAGTTGAGCCACAAGAGAAGCCCATCCTGATATATCTTTTCAGAAACTTTCTAATGTGTGATGATATATGTATAATGATTTGAGTCAGCTGTGCTTATTTAACAGCAATGTCTTAATAAATAGCAACTTTTGTTTGAAAATTATGTTGTTCTTTCCTTCCCACCTACACACAAAAACACACTGGGATGCATTTCTTTTCTGACTAAACATGAGAGATTGGAAACACCTGTCAGGAGCCAGAAATAATACAGACAGATACTCTCCTACTTCACAGTTTACCCTAATTACTATTTCCCCCTTTCCCAGCATAGAACTCTCCGTGTTTCAGTGTATCAGCTAACACAGCCTCTTTGGAGCTATTGAGGTCACTTGGCTTGATAGGAGAGCAGTGAGATCTCATGGAATTAATTTTGAGCTTCCAAGTTTTCTTGGAATGGTGATAATGGAAATAAGACTTTTCTGGGCATATTACTTCAAATTGTCATTGGTGTTTGTGGGGGTACATGTGTCCTGATTAGCCACTCCATTTCCTAGAAATATTTATTATGTCAATTTAAATGTTCCATTTAGGGGCACTTGGGTGGCTGAGTCGGTTAAGCCTCTGCCTTTGGCTCTGGTCATGATCTTGGGCTCCCTACTCAGTGGGGAGTCTTCTGCCTCTGCTTCTCCCCCTGCTCATTCATGCTCGTTCTCTCAAATCTTAAAAAAAAAAAAGTTCCATTTAATTTAGGTTCCAGGGCTGATGGTTGCCTAATTTGGTTGTAGTGTAACTTTGTTTTAAACCAGTCTCTACATTTCTTAGGGAATGCTGACATCGACCATGTATTTAAGGAGTATTAGTTATGCAAAGTATCAAGTAGGTCTAAGAACTTTCACCCCACCCCCTTGCGAACACCTGTGTCAGGTTAGAGGAAGAAGTTTTTTGACAATGGCTCTGACTCTGCCCAAAGAAATAACGGATCCCACTTAACTGTATTTCAAACAAACAGCTCAGTGAAGGGCATCTTCAGTGTCTTCAAGGTCCTTCTAGGCCATCTACTGGTGATGACCTAGAGCAGCCCAATAGGTCTTGTGTTAACGTGTGCTGGGATCTTTCTGAAAAGACACTTTTTATTAAAGGTGGGCTATTGGCTGTGTAATTGTAGAGGCCCCTACCTGTCCCCTCCTTGCTGAGCAACAACTCCGTAGTAGATATTAATGCTAAAAATGTCAGTCCTGAAATTGTTGATGTGTTCATGTTATTCCTCTCATGAAGTACTAGAGGGCAGCATTGGACTGCAAGTAATCAAAGGCAAGGCTCTTCATAGCTGTTTACCATCACCTTCTCTTTAACTTCGGCTACATCATTGTTTATTTCAGATACGGATACCAAGCCTTCGCCTTCGATGTGCTTATTTTGCATATGCTTTTCAGTTCCTAGGAGTATAAGGATTTACAGGAATTAATCATTCTAGAGAAAATGATGGAAGTAGGAGTTGAAATTTTAACTACTTTTTAACACCTCTAGATCATTTTTATACTCTGCGAGGGGCAGAGCAAAGAATTCCCAGTTCTGATCTCTAAGATAGATAAATGTGCTGTTTGCTCTACAGACAGGCTACCAAACCTGTGTCTTGTCTTTGAATGTTTATTTACCCTCGATGGGAGTTGGGAATTTGAGTCAGATTCTCATTGCTTTGTGTAGCTAGTGCCAAGCTAAGTCCTCGAGGAGTTGAGAGCCACAGTCATGATCTCATTTACAGTTCTCTCTTGGCACTTAACTACGATAGCATGAATGTGGCTTCTGTCTGTTTTGGGATGGGGGTCATCTTGAGCTGTGATGTGATATTTTGCCGCCAGAGCCTCACAGGATATACTCAGGTTTATTTGGAGTGATGACAAATTGAAATCTTTGGTGTATCCCACTCATCTCTCCCCTATCCCCACTGATAGTGATCTAAAGAATTATTAATCTGTTGAAATTCTTGTTCTTGTCTGAACAAATTACAGATGAGAAGTCTTTCCAGATGTAAGTGTGCATATGTAAGTCTCTGGTGAGGCTATGGAGGGAGCCCTTATCAAGTCTGCACAGAATGTGGTGACCTACTGCAGGGCTTGTGACCAGCATTTCTGCACTTCAGCTAGAGGATGGGATGGAAACTAGCAAATGCGCATGAAATGAAGTGCCTACCACGCTTGCAACCAGCTAGCTCAGGCTACTAGGCATCCCATTTTATGCATTTCCAAATTCATCACAAAGAAAAATCACATGAGACACAAGCATTGTCTCTTCTGCTATTCTCATGAGGAAATGGGGGCTGGGGCAAGAGGTGTGGGGAGAAGGTAGGATGTGGAGTGGAAATAGCATTTCTGAGCCTCTGACACTACTTTTGCTGACATCAGTATATGCATGTAATCTCATGAAATTCTCATTGTCCCTCTAAGGAAAGGGATACTTTTTTTTTTTATAGTTGCAACTTTTTAAAAGATTTTATTTATTTATTCATAAGAGACAGAGAGAGGCAGAGACACAGGCAGAGAGAGAAGCAGGCTCCAGGCAGGGAGCCTGATGTGGGACTTGATCCTGGGACTCCAGGATCATGCCCTGGGCTGAAGGCAGGTGCTAAACCGCTGAGCCACCCAGGTGTCCCAACTAGGGACCAGGTGTCCCTAGTTGCAACTTTTTAAAAAAGATTTTATTTTAAAGGGAGTGTGAGCACTGGGAGGGGCAGAGGGAAAGGGAGAGAGGGAATCTTCAAGCAGACTCCCAGCTGAGCACAGAGCCTGAAGACTCAGCACTAGATCTCACAACCCAGAGGTCATGACCCGAGCCAAAACTAAGAGTTGGACTAACCGAGTAAGCCACTGAGGCGCCCTGAGACTTCCTTTTTACAGGGAAATAAATTGAGTTTTGGAGAGGTTGAACATCCCAGTCTCTAAAGCCATCATCCTTAAATTGATCACTGATCCTAAAAGTAGGCTGTGCTTACTCTAACAGTATACAGCCCTAATAGATGGCGGGAAGGAGATACTACAACTCCCACGCTGTGCAAAATGTATTTATACTAAAGATCGTGTGGGTCATCTATAAACAAATATGTTTATTTTGGGAATATATATTCAAGGCCATCAGTTTGGAGGTCTAACCTATTGCCACAGCAAACCTGGCACATCCCAAACTGAACACATTTCCACACCCTTCCCTCCGCTATCCCAAACTTGTCTTCGCATTCCCTGTCACGTTAACAGCTCCTCCATTAACCTAGTCACTTCAACAAGGTACCTGAGACTGACTTGAAACCTGAGATTTTTCTCTCTCTCTCCTTCTCACCACAAGGACTAGTTACTATTTTATTTTTCTTGCAAAAAGTCCTTTTTTCTTTATCTATCCTGCTGCTTCCCCAGCTCTAATCAGCCCTCATCTGTTAATCCCCTGGCTGGGTGTCATTACTTCCTGCTTCACGCTTTTCAGTTGGATGTTCACATTGCAGCCAGAGATTTTATTTAAAAAAACATTTATTATGGAAAACTTCAAACATATTCAAAAGGAGAGATACTAATATAATAAACCTCTTTGGAGGGATCACCCAGCTTTGGCAATAATCAGCTCCTGGAAATCTTTATGTCCCCACCTACACACTCTCTGGTAATTTTGAAGCCAAGCCAAGATGTATCACTTCATCTGTAAATATTTGAGTATGTATAGAGATGTGTTTTAAAAATACAAATCTCAACGTACTACTCTTGCTTAAAATCCTACAGCTCATCTCTCCCAAATCCTTTCCTTTCCCCATCTACAGAAAAGATACAATAATTGAGCTGCCTTGCAGGACTAGTTTTCAGGCTAGACCAGCACCTGGCCCAGAGCAAGCTGTCAATGAATGTTAGCTGCTGCCATTATAATCCATTGTGACCACAGTCATGGACAAGATGATACTCAAGCTCCTTCATTTGGTAGAGAGGCCCATTATCTATCTGGCCTCTTCCTGTCTCTCCAGCTTTCTCATTTACCTGGTGCTCCAGAAATCTTGAGCTACTTGAAATTTCTCCCCCATACCTTTGTTCTTGCTGATGCTTCCTCCTTGCCTTTTCTTTTTCTCCCTTTCAAACACTGCGCATCTAGCAGGATGGAGATGGACTTCGATCATGGTACCTATACCCTTTGTTGCATTTGTTTCTTTGTTTATATGGTCTTTTTATGGAAGGTTTGAAGTGGTTTTCCAAAACACACAGTGAAGAGAAAAAAGATAAATGAATCAGGGTCTGGAAAAATGGAGGTGTAAGACTGGAGAAATTGGAATCCAAATGTGTAGGCCATGTATGGTTACTAAAGTTGAACTGTAATTTTTTTTTTCAATTTTTTCAATTTTTAGCTTAAATACTCAAATATGTTTTTTGGAAAAAATGTACTTCAAGAAAAATGAAAGTCTTTTCCCTTCATATCTGAGGGGACCTCTATTAATAAATAGTTGGATGTGTATCTTCCTAGTAGGTTTTTTGTTTTTATTTTTGTCATCGAATTATTTGTGTTCAGATGCAAGAAACAAAACCTTTTTTTCAGACTATGGCTCAGCACCACTTTTCTTTCTTTTTTAAATATTTTATTTATTTGAGAGAGAGCAAGCATAAGCAGGGGGAGAGGAAGAGGGAGAAGCAGACCCCCCACTGAGCAGAGAGCCCGATGTGGGACTGGACCCTGAGATCATGACCTGAGCTGAAGGCAGATGCTTAACTGACTGAACCACCCAGGTGCTCCAGTGGTCTCAGATTTTAATACTCTCCAACTATTTTCATTTAATTTCACTTATCTGGCAGATGTGATAGGATGGACTTAGCTCATTCTTTGTAACTTTTGCATAGTATGTCTTACTGAAAAGCACTTGGGTAGTTTCCTGTCTTTTAGTATTGCAAGCAATGCTTCAAGTAGCTTCCTTATATAGGTCTCTTTGTATACATGTGTATTTCTCCATGAGAGATACCTGAAGTAGAATTGCCGGCTAAACACATTAAAAAATATTTTTTAAAGATTTTATTTGACAGAGAGAGAGAGAGAAAGACAGAAAGAGCACAAGTAGGGGGAGCAGCAGGCAGAGGGAGAGGAAGAAGCAGACTCTCCATTGAGCAGAGAGTCCAATGTGGGACTAGACCCTGGAATCATGAC